GGCAAGATAGTCACTCTTCCCTCCTGATTTCGGAGCCATGTGATAAAGTTTCACATCAAAATCTCCGAGACCATATTTACTGGACAACTCCTCTAGACCAATTTAGTTTTATCAACTGAGTTGATAACGTAAATTGGTCACCGTTAAGAGTTTTAAAGCTGACGCTTGGATCGTCAGCCCTTCGTCAGAGCGAATAGATGTTATACGCTCCCGCCGACGCAGCACCAGAGTTTAGCTAGTATGTCTAGAACATTGACTTGCCTGAGAAGTGAATGACACCAAGATAAAATATGAAATGAAACCAAATCTCATTCCGGCTTATTCAGTGCAACAGGAGGCTATTTACCTCGAAAGGAATTATTGTTGATATTTATATTAAAAGTCCCTTCGTTATTATTTCCTCTTCCGTGACAACACAAAGGGAATCCTGTAAAATGAATGAATGCAAGGTATACATCGGAGAGACTGGAAGATCTATGCAAAATGAATGAATGTGGCAAGGTATACATCGGAGAGACTGGAAGACCTATGCAAGACAGAATTAAGGAGCACGATCGAGACATTCGACTCGCCCGTACCGAGACCTCGGCTGTTTCAGAGCATGCCCACAACACCGGACACAAGCCACTCTGGAACGAGGTAAAGCCACTCTGGAACGAAGTAAAGTATACTGATCGATCAACAACAGGAGAGCCGTGCGACAGCGGACCGCCGAGGGAGCAAATCACTGATCAACAAGGATTGAATGCACCAATCAGAGCTGTTGAAAAATAGCAGGTAATTTAGTGTTAACAACTGGGTTGAAAACGTAAATTAGCCACCGTAAAGGGTAAAAAAGCTGACGTTTCGAGCGTTAGCCCTTCGTCAGAGCGATTGGAAAAATAACTAATCACAGCAGAGCATCGTGCCTTATAAGATCACGCATGACCAGTCGACCCCATCGCCTGAAGAAGACTAGCAGTATGCAGTCGAAACGTCGCGATCCACATCACACGCGACTACATCGTGAGACAAACGAAAAACTTAGCTTTTATTATTTTTTTAATCTTTGATTATTAAAATCTTTCCCATCGACAATAAATAAGTCTTGTCTACATTTCGATACATTTGGGAGCGTAAATCCTAGTGTCTACAGTGATAAGCTAATACCCTGCTGAACACAGGCAGACCACACTATGTGTTTTTGGTTGATAACTGTTGACACGGGACGAACAAAATCTACGAGGGTTATAAATGAAGCCCTGAAAATTTCATATTGTGACAATAGGTGTTTCGCACCAACTGGACGTTTTCGGGGAACGCAACCATAACTGGGGGAAATAGATTTCCTGGTACACGGAAGCCTGCTTCAAGCAACCTTGCTGCGAATGTAAGGATTGGAAAGCGTTTGGTTCCACAGTAACTTTATTTTAGTTCACGCCGACAACCGACATTACCTCTAGCGTACTCAACTCCGTAATCGCCCCACAGACATCAACGTAATCACCATGCAGTCGTCAGTGTAACCTGAAAAGCTTACAAGGTACTTCCTCAACATTTTATTCAACTTTAGTGAGATCTTCAAACCGAGATGTAATTTACTTATGCAATTTTCAGAGGTTTGGTTCGTCGCATGTCAACAATACATTAACCACAAACACATAGTGTGGTCTGCCTGTGCTGCTGACCATAACAATTGAACAGCGAATGTGGAGGAAACAAGCAGAGGGGCATTTTGTTGCGCATGTCCGGTAAATTTTAGTTTGATACGAGAAACCGCTGGTATGCGCCTGCGTCGGTTTCCCTTTCGAGAATCACGAAAGAAAAGAAGCAGTAAAATACGTCGGAAAAAACAATGGTTCGAGTATTTGAGACAACCTTTATTCTCATTTTTTCTTCTGTAACGTAGATGGAAGCGGCAAATCCTTGAAATTATTGTGTGATGTGTGGAAGGAAGTTATTTTCAGAATGCAAAAGATTGTTCGAGTCTTGTCTCGTGATTGTCTGGGCGATCGATGAAGATGATGTTATTTTTGAAGGATGCAAGTGGCCTGTCGAAGAGTACAAAAGAATTGGATAGTATACTTTTATCGTGTCATTGCTATCTCAAGTTATAGGTGATCATTTGAAGTACTCGCCTTTCTGTAAGCGTTTTTTAGAGCTTCAACTGTACTGCTAGTGCAGTGTACCTCTAATTTTGGCAAAAATGTAAAGTTTACAGAGGTTTATGTTTTGTTTCAAAAGTGTTTTTTTGACATGAATCACAACCGGCAGGGCCGATTACCAAAATAAAAAAGGTCAATGTCGAGTAAAGAAAAGTAAGACAATGCTAATGCTAGAGATATGGTAGCTCCATCTGGTTAGAAATGGAGGAATAATTATGGATTTTATCAGAGTAAGATAAAGTCTTTTCTATCATTAGTCTCGGAAATATCATCAAATATGATCGATGATGTGGGGAAATTGTGAAAGAAAACAAGTACTACTTTGGGCTTCCAGTTGTAAGATGAATAGTTAAATCAATTATTACCCAGTGAAAATCACTATCATTTATCATTTCAACTGCACAAAAAAAATCATATACACTCTTTGCAACCTTATTCTCCAACCTATTAAATTACAAGAGTTGTGTGACAATTTGATGGTCTGAAAAGACTCTTATACATGCTAAACAACAAAGAACCAGTAAGGCTGATATTTAACAGTGAGGGTAAAAAAAAAAACCTTTTCTTTTCAGGAATAAGACTTAGTGAGGTCAGATTAAACTAATGTGAAGAGGTTTGTTGATCTCTTTATGAAAATTGATGCTCTACATCTATCAGATTTTAGAGAAATGAGACCTAAGTCAAAAGGGGACTTTGATATTGCATATTCTGCAGTAATGGGCATCAGCTTGGATGCCTATTTGCAGAAATTAATAGTTTTCAAGCCAGGGGCTTGGCTGTGCTAATTTTAAGGCAGAAAATCATAAATCAGTCGCTTAAGAAATGTTTAGCTCTGCCTGGAAGCTCAAACACTGTTATGGAACAGGACAATATTTCACCTGATCACTCCTCATATTGTTTTCCCATGAAATTTGGACAAAACTTTCAAAAAACTTTATTGGTAATTTTATAGTTGCAAAAAAAGGTATAGACACAAGTTGCATATAGCATAAGCTAGTTGAGGCAAGTTGTGTGGAGAGAACAAAAGATTGATAATTTATACCAGTAGTAAGCTTCTGGTACTAATGACATTCTCTTGAATGCCAGCTTGCCACAGTAAATGTCACACCTATCCTTTCTGTCAATAGTACTGACCATATGTAGTGGGGTCACTTCACATCTCTCTAAACAGCAGAGAACACAATAGTTAATTCCAATCATCAGTCTCAATTAAGAAATAAAAATTGAAGGATCAAGACTTATCTGGCAAAGAGAAATACAAGTCAAACTGGTTTGAAGACATTTTAACCCGAAATTCGTTTTCAAATATGACAGAAATACTGTAGTTCACATTCTAAAGAAAGAGAGTTCCAGCCCCTTGAGTAATTATTCATTTATTGTATCGCTCACCTCATGTTTTAAGAACCAGAGAAAGTTAGATAATTTTAATCTGCGAGTTTTATAGTACACTTCGACTCAAAATTCATTTCGTATGGCAGAAGTATTCTACTGAAATAAACAAGACAGAATGAAGCTGACGCCATCCGTTTCGAATAACACATGAACATGAAGAAAACGGCACCAGTTTAAACTCATGAGACAAAGCCCACGGATTTTTTTTTGAGGTAAATGAACTGGTTAGACCGAAGGCTAAATAAATAAACAATGAACTGACAGTGGTGAGAGATTTGGGGCCATGTGATAAAACAAGTTCTACCGAAGTTTATCCTCTAGTTAGCCCTTCAAGCCCAAAAAAGGGCAATCAGAAAAATTCTCACCAAAACACAGCAAAAAAAAATTAGATAAAACCGCAGATGATCGAGGCAAGACTATAAACGTTGTTAAGACGCATGCCTACGTACCAAGTACAACAGACTTGGAGAGCAAAATGGCCAAAGACAGTTGTGAGCCATGACTTTGAAAATCCACCTCAACCTCCCAAAAACGAATTCGCCGAAGGTTATAGAAAGAGCAACTCAATCCTGAAGCTGGAACATTTTTTTAAGCCTTGTGTCCAATGGGACAACAAAGAGAAAGAAGATAAGATGTTATTTGAAGTGATTTGAAGCTTGGGGGCCACCTCGAACTTAACGTAATTTTATTTCAAAGTTGAAGTAAAATAAGATCCAATTGTAAACTACCTTCTATTATCGTAACGAATATCTCACGATCGCCTCCACACATCACTTCGTGATTTATAGAAGTAAGACATCAACATCTTAAGACTAACCTTCAAGGTTTGTAGTCTCATGTGCACATCTTGATCGTCAGCAAATCAAATCTCAAACTTCAAGTTTTCGACTTTTTTTCGCGTTTTGTTCGCACTTTGATCATTAAAATATCCTCATCCGAAGAGCCAGCAAACTCCACAAGTATCCACAGAGTTAGAAATGGTAGTAAACTTGTCATACTCTTCCATCCCTCTCCAAAAAATATCACAGAAAGGTGTCGATCGCTCAGTTGAAAACCGGCAAAAGTGCGCTGAAAATATCGAAATGGCGCCGAACGCGCCGAACAAACTTTCTTGGCGCATGCGCAACAAAATGCCCCTCTGCTGAGGAAACAGCCATTATAAAATTACCGAAAAATTCCTGAATGTACCCGATACACTGTATTCTTAACATGTAAGGTATTTATTAATGCTCATGCCCAGTTTGACGACGTCGCTCAACTGCTGGTGAATCGTAAATAGCAGACATAGCACCCATAGCAGACATAATTTCCAAAATTAGCTTGACACAGAAACTCGTCACTAGTCCTCCACGGTTATACCTCTGACTCTCAAAAGCACGTGACATCGGTGGGGAATAATTTCAGCAATCCCATAATAAGCATCAAAGTGAAATGGTAGCTATTTACTTCCGCATCGAACGTGTGAACATATCATTTTGGCGATATTGTACAGTGCACAAACTTTTATTCGCGAGGTATGACCTGGCTGAACTTTCTGTTAACTTTACTTCTGTATGAAGCAATTAGTTTCGTACGAGAAACAGGTAAGCACCTCGAATCAGAATTTAACTTTACCGTTCTAGCAGGCTGTAATGTGCTAAGGTGAGTTTTCTCTATCTTCGCTTAAAAGTATTGTTTTTATATGAATTTTGTTGTTCTTTCGCAAAGAGCAAGCACCATCCTTTCTTTCGACTCCCTCAAGTCCATTGTATCCGGTGGAAAATTACAACATCACCCTTCAGTGGACATACACTCTTGATGGTTCTCTTCTGGATGACATAGAAGTAATTTTCACTCCTGATTCCCCCTCACCTTCTGCACAAAGAATTGCGAGGTATAGGAGTGGAGGCACAACTCAGGTGGCTAGTGACGTCCAAGATCGATTCCTTTTTAGTTTAACAGATAGTCAATCAACAATGACAATCCTTCGCTCCCAAAGATCAGACAGCGGAACGTATGAATTGACTGTGACTCCCGACGACTTTCTCTCAACTACCATCAAAGACAGCGTCAAGATTTCAGTGAAATGTAAGTACATCGTTTTTCCTTATTTTCTCCAAGAGACTTCTACAATAATACTGATAATGATAATAATAATAATAATAATATTAATAATAATGGTAATGATAATGAATATGAGAGTGATGATTTTCACCTTGAGACTTGTTGTTTTATGAACTATTAAATTAGTGATGATTGAGGGGCTTAGTTAGGCCATACTCGTGTTGGAGGTACTGTATGGCTTTGTCACTGATTATTAAACATGTTCTCTCACTTTTAAATTACTTGTTTGTTAGTATTTGTGTAAATCAGAATGAGGATCTTTCTATTTGCTGTCACTTTAGCTTCAAACTTTCTGTTGCAAAGTCAGCCATTATACATGTTTTCAGATAGCACAGATATTGCATTTTAAAATAAAATTAAAATTTAATGGGTGCTGTCATTGGTTGAAAGAGTGTGCTCTATGAGAGTATAGAGCATAGAGCTGAGCTAAAGCTGTCATGCCATCTGCCAAATTGTATTATGTCCAACCTTTTCCGGGACTTCTCTTTTGTTTTGTTTTTTTCCTTAATTGAAAGTAAGATTTCGGAAGAAACAAGCTTGCAAGTAGCAACAGAAGAACCAAACAAAGGTTTGTAAAAATACCAGGTGCCGTAATTCACGCTATTATAAGGTGAGCAGAGGCGAAAATCCTCAAAGAGAAAACAAAATGGGCAGTCTGAGTTTTAAAGGTTTTCAGGCACAGTTAAATTGCAAGCTTATGTACTGTAATAAAAATCAAATACAGCTAACACCTGTATAGTATATAAAGTTTCATATTCAAAAACAAAACAGGAAAAATGACAAATATAACCAAACTGGCATAACTGTTAAAATTTGTACTAATCATGATGGTGTCAGAGCAAATGCGGTCATGCTGAGGTCCATTGCAGCTAGCTCATCATGGTGATCTTCAGTCATCGCAGTGAAGCAAGCCTCAGGAACTACATCGGCCACCCTTCGAGTGAAAAAGTAAGAGCTTGCTCTGATATCCTTTCTGATGCAGTGAGTGGAAGGCCACATCTGAGTCATTGCAGCCAAGTTTTACAGCGCTATCATCCTGAGCGATCTTCATGTTCCAGTGAATTCGGCTGTTGTTCATTCATTAAACACTTGCCTTAAACAGTTTGTTTTCTACTTGTCATGTGAAAAAACTTGCGTTTTTTTATGGGCCACAATTTGGCCAAATTTCAGTGAACATTCCATTTTCAGATTCTGTATTAGAGACAAAAAAACTTTAGGCAGAAGTGTTAGATTCAACCTGCTGAACTATTTAAGTTTGTAAACTATTTTAGAATGTGAACTTTGATGGTTTGACATTTTTGACAGATTTAGTCTTGAACAGCCAATCAGATTATTTGAACCATTCTATCAGGGATTCTGATTGGCTTATTATAGCATGCTTTATGAGTGTATAGAGCATGCTGATAACACTGTTGTTCACTTTGGAAATAAAGTTTGTCTTGAAAATTTAAAGGAATGCTTGGGGAATTTAGTGGATTCTTTATTCTAAAACAAATAGAGAAGCCTTGACTGTGCTCTGTTCTGTTGTAAAGCACTTAGGAAGCAGCTGGAGCACTCAAGAAGTGGGGAGAAACACAAGACATAGTGGATAGTTTCTCCCTACACTTCTTTTGTGCTCTAGCCAATTCCTATGTGCTTGAGCACAGTAAAGGCTTCTTTATTTGTTAAACAAAAATTTGAATTAATTTTGACACTGAAGTGACCATATAGAACCAGAGTAAATTAGATTCAAAACTCACTTGCTCAAAATAATTCTTTTAGATACATGACACTTTGGTGTGTCTCCATATGATAGTGAGTCGAAAGTTACGTGCTTTCATTTCTCTAATAAAGTTAATTTTATAGGCACCTTCCCTTTCAGAATAACAATATGAATACATCATCAAGTTTTTGGTAGAAATGTGAATAATTTGCAGCTCCCAGGTCTTTTCCTTCAACTTCAATAAATGCTGTGAAATGATTTTGTTCTTTCACATAGGATGGCTGAAAATTTTTCAAAATGTTACAACATACATGCCATGCTATGTTTGCTTGATCAATATTTTGTATGTTTCTGCTGCTGTCAGGATTGTGATTATGTTACAGAATTATGGTCTTAGCATCCCAGATAGACCATTTGAAAAATTTTGCTTGCAAAACTAATTGTCTTATTTGGTTTGTCTCAGTAAATTTAATTTCCACCATAAACTTAAACAGTAGAATATATTCTTGTTTCAAGCACCCTCCTGCCCCCTTGAGAACTTCTCATTCCAAAGAGGTAGAACAGTCCAATAATTTTCCATTTCAAGCACTTTTTCATGTATGTAAATATGTATTGTATATGTATTCAAAACAACAATATACATGTTCTGTCTTCAACACAAAACAACATGGCTGAAGTTTTCATTTCCAAGGACATGAGAAATATTTTATTGTTTCAAGAACTTTCTGACACCTTGTGTTATATATGGTGCTAAAAATCAAGGATAGAAATGATATTTTACTCTTGGGTTCAATGGATGAGGTTAGTTGTTTTATAGAGAGATGACCATTTTTAGTACAATTTGGTTGAGAATTGCACAAAAGGTATCAGAGATGACCTTTGTTTTTCTGACTCCTTGCACTGGATAAATTTAATTTTACTACTGAGACTCTTATGATGGCCTCTAAAACTCTGACCTATAATTTAAAGGCAAATTTTGACGTGGTTACCTTACTTTGAACAAATATATTCTGGAGCTGAAAATTCAAGTATAGGTTTCTATTAGTTGTTTTTACTTGACATGATTGATGCTATTTGTATGCTTAGTATAAAAAAGTTTAACATACTGCCGTCCAGATTTGGGAAATTTTTGCTCAATTAAGGAATTAATAAATGAAACCACTACTGTTTGTTCATACTGGTAACTTTGTGGGTTTGATTCCACTGCAACAGAAGCGTGAGCGGCTATGTAGCTAATCATCTACATGTGCCTGTCACCTTAATTAGTAAATGTAATGACTAGTGAAGGTATTAATTGCCCTCAGTGTGAACACTGTGCATGGCTCATAGCTGTGAAAGGTTTAGTGAATTAACTATCTGCGAGTGAGTAGCAACTTTGTGTATACATGGTAAAAAAATTCAGTGAATTCTCTATTTGTCAATGTTTGTGCCTCCTTTATGATAGATGCATCAAAGATCAACTACACCTCTGGTAATCAGACCCTGAATGAAAGTGACACAATAAATCTAACATGTGTGGCTGATGGTAATCCAACTTCAAATATCACCTGGACAAGAGTTTCTGACAACAAAGCTGTGGCCTTCCCTCTCATCATCAGTGGTAAACAAGATGAAGGAGGCTACAAGTGCACAGCAAGTAATGGTATTGGAAGCCCTGACAGCAGGATTGTCCATGTTTTTGTACAGAGTAAGTTTTATAAGAGGAATACCTATCCCTTTTGGTTTAAGGTTAGTCATTCTCTTTGCAAGGAATCCCTAACCTGAAAGCTATTTTAGTCAGAAAAAAGGAGAGGTATGCTTCAGCAAGCAATTCTTTAATTTTATCTCCAGTGTTGAATTAAGTGCATAATGTTTCCAGAATATTAACATTTTGTCTCCACTTAACCAACACATATAGTATAGAATCGAGTAAGTTCACCTAATGAGAGCATTTATTCATTAATCTCAAACACTTAACAATAATTCTGCTATTTACACTAACTTAAACAATGGCCCTATGATTTGTGATCATGCTTAGGAAAATATGCTTTAATGTTATTCCTTAAACAGTTGAAAACTTACTGGTAGTTAATGGATGGCTAACAGCATGAAAACCATGCCAATGTTTTGTGCTTACACTCTAATGGCCAAATAGTTAATGGATAGCCCTTGTGTTCTAACAGTTTTTGTAGGTGTTGCCCAGTTGCATGTTTGCCTCCTGGAGTCAAACAAGTTACCCTCCATATTTACCTGTTTGCCCTCAGATGTTTCAGCATTTTTCCTTACCACAAAACTTTCCTTTTTTGTTGAAGTCAATGTAGTCTAATGCTTGATTAAGAGAACATACCAAGTGGCTATGAAAAGCTTAGTTTAGAGATACTTACAGCAATAAACAGTCTACCAGGAGTGTTTTAATAGAGTGATGGTTTTGGCAAAATTCTAAGGGACAGGGAGGTACATAGTAATTAAAATTTGTTGTGAGGGCAAGCATAAGAAACTGTTAAACCATTTAGGTAAATCAAGGCTGTGCTCTAACGGCGCCCGGTCGCCTGAGGCGACTAACATTTGGCCTCGGGCGACTGAAAATATTTTCTTGGTCGCCCGGCCGGGCGACTGGCTGGTGTTGGTTTCTTGATTTACAGTCAAAAAAAAAAAAAGAAAATGTTGTTCAATCGGGCGCGCGTTGATATTCAAAGGTCGTTCCACGTGAATTTACGTGTAACATAATCATCGACTTAAATGATCCTGACAAGCTGCACAGTTTTCGATTTTAACCGCTTTTCCAAATAGTATTATAATTTTCCCTTTAAATTAGGATGGCTCGTTAGTTAGTTTTTGAAAAGCAATTGTTACTTCTGCTCTGACAGGCGTAAAGTACGGTCGACGATTAATAAATCGCTAAATGAACACGGGAGTCGTTCTTTTAAAAGAAAATGTTGTTCCATCGGGCGCGCGTTGATGTTCAAAGGTCGTTCCACGTGAATTCACATGTAGCATAATCCTTGACTTTGAACTTGACTAGCTGCACAGTTTTCGATTTTAACGGCTTTTCCAATAGCATTAAAATTTTTCCTTTAAATTGGGATGGCTCATCAGCTAGTTTTTCAAAAGAAGTTGTTACTTCTGCTCTGATAGGCGTAAAGTACGGTCGGCGATTAATAAATCGCTGAATAAACACGGGAGTCGCTCTTCTATGCTAATTTAATATTTTAGCCGGCTTTTTACTGCCGAGTCTGCGAGGCAAAAACGTAACTTAAGATTGTTTTTCCAGTAAAACACGATGTATAAAAAAGAAAAGATACGTTTTTTTTTGTGATTGTTTTAGAAACGGGTATAAACTCTATAAGTCCCGCGTTGTCCTTGGTGTCGTGACAAGTTATTACGTATCACGCACTAAAAATAAAATCGACCGAATCCACAAAAAGCTCATTTGTCTTGAACATTTCACCGATAGGTTTTCAGGAGGTCAAAGGATACGATGTTTCATGAACATAAAAACAATAAATAAATGCACATAGTTCTATTTGACTCGTTACGAAAACAGTTTGTTTAATTTTTAATAATTAACTGACTGATTTATTAATTTGGGCGACCAACTAGGAGGCCCGGGCACCTCAGCTAAAACGCTTGGGAGCCCGAAGGGCTCCCTGAAATTTTCCTTAGAGCACAGCCTTGTAAATACTTTGTGGTATTGCATCACTCTTGCAGTAGTTATGCATCGGTGAACATTGCTAAGAATCTGCATGTTGATCAAACTGTGTTATGGTTTAACTGTGAAATTGAATGTTGATGGAAATATATTACAATTCCTCAGAAAACATCACTTACTTTCAAGAAATGAGTTGAAAGATTTGAGAAAACTCTTAAAGGGTGGGGCAAATTTGTTGTACACCTGGCCCTGGTCATTCAAAAGTTGGATAACGCTATCCACTGGATAAATCTCCATCCAGTGGATAGTGCAGAAAGCTTTACAGTCATTTATCTGCTGGATAGCAATTTATCCAATAGATAATGTTATTCATCCTTTATACAACTGGGCCCTGTGCTTCAGGGTGAGGCAAATTTGTAGTACATCCGTACTTCAGGGGACAAACTTACAAAGGTGACAAAGGGTGAAACGTAGAGATACCACTCTAACTCTATATCAAGAGCTAGAAGTGTAACATTCTTCAGGCTACCAATTAATAATTTCTCAGAATGCTTGAAGTGCTAAAAGATTAGTTTATCAAACCTAAAGTTGAATTAAAGATGAACGCAATGAAGGAATATTCAAAGATCATACTTGAACTTATCAGAAAATGTCATCCTTTCAGTAGTGAGCTTGTCTTTCTCCATTGCATGTTAGGGCCAGAATTATGTGTACATGTCCCAAACATGCTCTTTAAATATTCTTCAAGGATATATTCCAACAGCAGTTGGGAAAAAAAATTTCAAATAACAAGTTACTACAATTATATGCAAAGAAATTGACTAAAAAAACAAAATAAAGGACAATAAAAGACACTTCCAAACATTGTATGAGATCTAGGAACAAACTGCCTGGTTAAAGATGATATACAACAATTTAGGAAAACAATCCAGCAGAGTTAAATGATAAATCTGAATGAAAAAATTTGCAGGAAAGAACTTATACGAATGACACAAACAAAGGAAAATTATGCAACAATATCAGAATATCAATGAAAGTAGGGACTTGAAAACAAAAGAACATAATGAAAATGTGACAAAAGTAAAAAATTATAAATTCTTAAGAAATAATTTTGGCAGGAACACCTTCCTTTAAGACTTCTTCATATTCTCATGACTTTTGACTGATGCTGCAGATACATTTAAATTCTTGTGATGATTTTAGAGTGATTCTGGCCATGGGTTGTAGGTCACACTTTCTGCTGCTTGTGAGACAACTGATTCAGGTACATTGTATTTACTGAAAAAAGAATAATATTGCCAATTGATTTGAATTCATTGTAGACTACCGCCCAATAAACACCAATGTGACAACCAATCTCACTGACAACACCATTCTTGTGAATGAAACGTTTAGTATCACCTGCAGTGCACAGGCCAACCCACCTGCAAAGTATCGATTCTACAAAGGTAATGAGTATATCAGTGGTGCAGACAAAAATGCAGTGATTACAACTTCAGTTAGTGAAAGAGTAAAGATGGTGAACTACAGCTGCATCCCATTCAATTTTTATGGTAATGGAACCACAAAGGCAACAGCAGTGACAGTGCACTGTAAGTATTTGATTGTATAAGTTCCATAGACTACTGAAGTCAGCGTTATGAATATGTTTAATGTACATGCACATGTTTGTATATTTTATTTCCTTGAATAATGATCCACATTCACCCCTTAGGCCACATTGTTAAACAAGTGCCCCTCTCAAATAAGCAACCTGCCCTCCTCCCTCACTTTCTTAAATAGTAGAGAAACAAGGAAAAGCTGTTTATATTGCCACTCTTTCATATAATTTTAAGCTTCAACTACTGCAAAATCAGGCAGGGGAAAACTCTCTTCTCTGTTAAAGTCATTTCCATTTATTTCTATATCTGCATGGAGAGTTCCTTTTATGTGCATTACTTGTTCTTTAAAATTTAGCCTTATTTCTTCCTTCCAATAAGCACCCCTTGTTTAAGCTAAAATTTTAAATAAGCACTCAGGCACTTGTTGAAAGAAACATTGTATTAAAGGATTTTAAAACATCATAATAAACACTTATAGTTTGTTGTTTGGACAGAGCGCTCTGTATAGTCCCCTACACCTAACTTTTGATTTGAATTCATTGAAAGTTCAGCTAACATACAGGGTTTTCAAAAGAATATGGAAGAGTTCAGTATTGCTATTTACTACTGTAGAATGAGACTCAGCGCCAAAGGGCAAGTGCTTTTGACCCTCTAAGCTAAGTAACATATTAAATGTGTCTCCTTCATTCATGGGGAATAATTGTTTCCATTGCACAAGCAAATTTTAACAATTTTATTTTCTTTTGTTCACATGCTTTGTAAACACAAACTAGGAAAACTGGAAAGTTTAATTCTGGAACTCATTTCCAATATTTACTATAAATTTATAAGACCTCTGCTTAATGGTCATCTGAATTACAGTTGTAAGACAGGGTCACTTGGAATTCCCAAATGCCTACTACTTCTTCTAAACAGGCATCATTTCAAATCACAATCAAGAGAATGTGTGGTCTGAATTTTTTATTTTAATGTTTGGTCTCATTATTTATTGTCTCACTTGTGCTGGGCAAATTCAAGGATTAGCTCCACTGAGCTACAGTTGTCTAAATTCAAGGCTATCATGGCTGATGTATCAACCTTATAACTCCCAAGATCTCATTAGTAATTCTCCTTATTGTCTGCTGTACAGTTCTTGTGATGTAAGTTTGGAGAATTTGGTATTGGATCAACTCATAATCCCCTAATTGATATTTCTCTTTATTCACTTCACTTGTCTGCGTGATATTGTAAGGAGAAATTCTGTCTCAAGGGGGCTAAAGGGTTAAGCTACACGTGGAATCACTGCTTGTGGTGAGAAAGGTGTGAGCTCCACATACTTTTAATATATTTGCATGAGGGTTGTGGTGAGATTCAAATTGCATTTAGTTTGATTTCTGGATCACTAATTTTAGTTTACCTCTCTTAGGTGGTCGGTCTCTATAAGAAAAAAATCTAGCTTTTTCTTATAAGGCTGCTGCCCGGAGAGAAGTTTGACTGTATTTGTCAATCTTGCTTTTGGTCTGGTGGAGACCTTTTACACATTTGTGCACTACGAGGGCAGGGTTTAGAAATTGTTGCAGAATCAGTATTTTGTGTTTATTAGATATGAAGTTGGTATATGTAAACATCAAATATTTGGTGTGAAAACACAAAGTCTGGTAATATCCCAATAGGTTGGCTCTCCAAGGGTTTAATTTGTCTAAAATGTTGCTGAGATTAGCCATAATTTCAAGTACTACCTGGTATCATGGTTCATTCTTGAGAAATTTGTGGTGGATATTGTACTGTCTCATATCCCTCTGAGAATATTCTACAGCAAAAGGTTTTTGCACTTCAGTTCTTGAAGGGAAATTGCAAGATACAAGGTTGTGTCAACTCTATGGGATGCCTTTGAAAATATTCAGAACACTTTCAGAAATTTTTAGACATCTGTTCGAAATTAAATCAGGTCCTCCACAAAAATGCTGGCATCCTAAGAAATAAAAATCTTATTCATTAGCCTGACTCAATGAAACTTGACTGGTAGAACAGAATGCCTATTTGAATTGCTTTATCAAGTGAGATCCTTCAACACCTTATTTTTGCTTTCTAGGGAAGAAATCACTTATCAAATAATCCTTAAGCACTTGATGAAAATAAACAGATTTAGAGCACTCTCCTCTCCCAATAAAGTACTTGTAAACAAAGGGAATACATGTCTGTAGCTTGTTTAAATTAAGAAGTGTAGCATAATTTTAAACTACATGTGTAGGTAATAATGACAAATTCAAGACAGTAAGCATATTGATATATAATAGCAGGCTTTGTACATAATTATGTGCAACATGTATAATTAATGATGTTTTTCTTTTTCTCTATTTGTCTTGTGGCTGATTGAAACAAGGGTTTACCAGTCTGAAAGATAGCAGAGATGATTAAAAACAATATATGCTTAAGCTGAGAGGTGTACAACATGTACACGTAGAGTCTGCCATTTGAACTGTGTGGGAAACTGGATGACAAGGTCACTATAAAGAAGGGGCCGAACTTGTAGAAATGCTTATTATTATACTTTTTATGCAGTGCTAACCAGCAGCCAAAATGCAGCAAAAATTTGTTTTTGTGAAATGTTAAAATGTTGAATGAAAATGAATTTTCATTAATTTTGTACAGATATCTATGAGTGATAAATTTAAATGGGCATTTAAAACAAAGCTAGACTGAAGTAAGTTAAAGTGAATGTTAGTTATTAATTCATGAAAAGGCTTTCCTCCCTTGAATGCTTAATGACAAACCTGTCAATTGCTTTTGAACTGAACCCAGAGACTGGAAGAGCAATGGTGTGATATTATTCTCTGCCTGAAAGATAGAAGATTGCAACCATTTAAAAAACTAGTGAACAAATGATGGATGTTTTTCTCCTTGAAAAATGTCTGGGCATGTAGATGTTATATGCTATCTGCTTTAGAAAGAACATGAAAATACTGTGATAAGATTTACAAAATTATGGTGAAGTTGTGGAAGGTGTAAACAGGAGCCATGGTGTGATCAGTATGTTTGCTGGTGCTGTAGTAGCCATTATTTCTCTTTCTCATCAAGAAAGGAGAATTTGTTTTCAATCCCAGTCTCCATACCATGTCACAATTACAAGGCTGTTCAAAATAATGTGGTTCAGTGGCTTTCACAATCCAGGTTGTTGACGATGAAGTATTACGTATAGAGTTCCAGATACATTTTGTTTCAGACTTGAGGAATTATCTACTTTTTGCCAGTTTAAGAAACTTTCCTGGCAGAGGGTAATAACTGTATCAGCTGCAGGTACTGGTCTTCACAAGGCCATGCCTTCTTGTTGTTTGCAAAGTAATCTTTCAGTCTGAAGTCATGTGAATCTTGTTTGGAAATTCATCTCCCATTCAAGTGGTATGTGATTCAATCAGTGGTAGTTGGCATCAAGTGTTCAGTGAAGCTGGTTGTTCCAAAAGTTCTGTAAGGCTCATGCAACAGTGACAATTGGAAAATTGGTTACCAAAGAATTAAAAAAGAACCCATGTGAAAAGACTTGATGAACTTTTTGTCTTGGAATGTTTGCACTGCTGTGAACACAAGGTCAGCAAGGCAGTCGGAAGAAGACATTACTTGAGGAACATCAACAGCCTGTGACAGCAAATGCAGTGGTGTGCAGCTGTTGTGTGTAGTTCCAAAAGCAAATGTGGCCATAATCAGAAAATATCAAGAAGAGAGCAGGTTTCTCAAACACTAAGACTTTGAAAACTGTTGTACTAACTTTTACCATGTAAACATGACCTTGATTTTTGTTTTTTTTTATTGTTTTTGTTTGTTTTGGTTTGGTTTGTTTTAATTGTTTTTTTTTTTTTGTACATCATTCTGCAAAAGACGCATCAATTTCTTATCATCATAAAATTTATTTAAGAATCTTTGAATGTAGATCTGTCCAAAAAAATTTGTCTGGTTTTCAAAGCCAAATCAATCCTCAAGTTGTTTATGCCAAATATTGTAACAAAGTTACTCAAAATGCAGGATTTAAAAGTTTGTGTGTATACAACTTAACCCTTTAACTCCCAGTAGTGATTTATTTTGACCTAACAGCAAATTCTCATAACTAATTAACAAGAAAATGTCTAACAGCCAGGAGGGAGAATAAACAATCAAATGGTGGGAGTTAAAGGGTTGAAGGCGATCAGTGGTAGATATTGTTTTGATATATACTTGTTCATGTTACCCCTTATTTGATGAAAATTAGGAGTGAAATCCATATTTCTTATGCTTTCATTTGTGCATGTGCAGGCCACTTTTTACCTAAACTAGCAATCGGTGTTTTGAATACCTAAATATGTGGATAAATTTTTGTGAAGAGATGAGTGAATAATTACAAGCCCAAGGTTGCTGAAGGCTGTAGTTTCCAATATATCTGTACTCATGCCTTACTTTGAATTCTATGGTCTTGGCTTTCAAGGTATTAGTTGTACTTTAAAGATTGTTATAACCAGTAATGTGTGGTATTTACAGGGTGCTAGTTTTTGAGAGCCCTTTTTCAAAGGTTTAGTTTTGGAGACTCCCAAAATACATAAAGCTGTACCAAAGTGAGCAAGGTCAGAAGTAGTGAGAAAATCACTAAAAATAGCAAGGACCAAAATACACCAATCATTGCCGTTACAAATCAACCAATAGCAGCTAAGTATCACCTGGTTTTAAAGGTGACAAAGAACCAGCTGACTTCATTGCCAGATCAAGACCAGAAGTCTGCATTTGAAAAGTGGCACCATAAATCACCAGGATGAACAGCTACATCGTTTTTACAGAAGCAAAGATGATTTTCTTATGAAATGAAAAATGTGAAAGCTTAATTCTTGTGTGGACAAATCAAATGCATAAACTATTGGTAAATTAATTTCCATTATAGTGATCATTGGAAGCTTAGCATCTGGTGTTTTTTCTGATAAACTTTTGGTCTTGTTGATTTTTACTCAAGGCTGTATTGTGTAATCTTTTTCAAATGTGAGAACGCCAGTGAGAAACATCTATTTACATTTTAACTTTTGGTCTCAGTTGGGCATTATCTTTCAGGTAAGGCTATGTTCCCTTTTCTGACTCATGTTTTGACTTCTTTAATTTTTTCTTTGTATCAATTTCTTGGTTGATTTTGTATCTTTACTTTAGACAATTTTTGGAAATACCTATGGTATGTACATGCTGGTTAGAAATGGAGTGTCCATTGTGAAAACATGAAATAACAAATCCAGAAACTTTCAATAATCAAGTAGAACTAATTTTGTAAACTTTTTAGACTTTTCATTTAGAGTGGTCAATTTGACTAAATTGATCTTTAAAGAAGGGTCATTCAGCTAGGAAACATAGTACAGGATATTGAAACTTCTGTTGGGAGAGAGAGTTTCATGAGTTGCCACTTAGGGATACACTTTTCGAGTAATGCTTTATTTCAATATGGGATTGAAAGTTAAAATTTTTTGTGATAAAAGTAAAAATTTATAAGTTTTGTATCAAAGTAAATGCCGGGGCCAAAGCTTGAATAATTTTGATGTTGAAGAAATTGAGGAAATAGAATTGCAAATAACAAAACTCTCTACATAGTCATAAATTTCAATCAAAATTTACAATGATGGATCTGTTTTATGAAATTGCATTTTGAACAACCCAGGCTGGCTGGTTGTGAAGGATTTGCTTGTTGTAAGCACTGTTTATTTCTGATCCAGCAATGAAAACAAAAGATTTATTGACAGTCTGGGAGGCAAATAAGCTACATCCTGTCCACCAGAGAAAAGTGAGCCATTTCTTTGGTTAAAATAATTAAGCCTTTGTTAAAAGTTTCTTACACACTTAAAGACCTGCACCAGGTTTCAGGGTAACAAGTGGCACAGTCACCCCAAGTTCCTTTGCCCCCAAGTATGGTTTTGTCACCCTCAACTTGAAGTTGCATTGTTTAATGACTATTGCTGTTTAGTTATTTAATTGGAAGATTATTAATGCAAAAAAAACTTTCAAGTTGTAATAATAGTAACTTTGCAATCCCAATCATGTGACAGCAGAGTGCAAGTCGATGAAGGGTCCATTTTGGAGGTGTTTCCATGATCACTCGAGATGGGTTGTTATGAAAAAGTTTTTGTTGTAATTGGTGCAGGGTCACATGAGAAAATGTAAACCGGGAACATACTGATTAGATTAAGTTCAGATTTTTACAATAGCTTAGCTACCCACTGTAATATTTTCTCATTCAGATCCAGCTTTAATAGAGTCTCCTCCAGTTAATGAAGTTGTCCTTGAAAAAGGCAACGTGACTTTACATTGTAATGCTACTGGTAATCCTACACCAAACATTACTTGGACTAAAGGTGGCAGTCTTTCAGTGCTACATCAAGGGGATATTTACAGCATTGTAAATGTACCCAGAGATGCAGCAGGAAATTACACATGTACAGCTTGGAATGGAGTTGGTGAACAAAAGAAGTCTACTGCTGTCATTGCTGTCCATTGTAAGTTGATTTTTTCTCATGTTAAGATTTTTATATGTTATGTCAAATAATGAGAATGGCAAATCATTTTCATTTGAACCTTCTGTGGTACATATTATTTTTGGTTTGTTGTTGTAGTTGTGTTTTCTGTCATAGTTTAAACTTTTTGATTTGCATTGTAGATCCTCCTTCTATAAAAATTCACAAAAAAGAGGTTATAGTATTTGAGGGACACAATACCAGTTTGGCATGCAATGTATCTGGTAAACCAGAACCTACTATCACATGGACTAAGCAAGGTAGTAGTAAGGTGCTCTCAAATACTTCATCATTGGATGTAGTAAATGTAAGCAGACATGATGCAACTGATGACATGATACAGTATCAGTGCACAGCTAGTAATGGAGTGGGAACACCAGCAACAGCTACTGTTAACATCACTGTTTATTGTAAGTACTAAAGGTTTATTTTATATCTATTACTACTAACTAAGCTGAAGTTTCTATGAACTATTGTAAAGAAAAACTTCTTTTTTTTTTTTTTTTGCAAAGCTACTGGAAACCCACAGTCAAACATAAGTTGACCAAGGCAGAAGACAATAAAACTTGTGTACTTTAGAGAGACCTTCTCTTTGTCAATGTAACCATGATGGATGACCAAACAGAAAACAAATGCAGGGTCCTGGACTAATTAGGATTCGTTGAAGTGTTTGCTCTTCTTCCCCCATGTAGTGTAAAAGCAAGGTGTAGAATTGTTTGTTATGGCACATGAAACATTTATGTGCTATGATACTTGTGATGATAGGTAGCCTCTCATAGGCAAGGAAATCTTGAGTACTTTTTTGGTCCTTTTAGTGTGTACATTCATCACCTGTACAGGTAAAGACTTTGCAACGTTTTTGAGGTCTATATGAATTTAGCTTAAATATGCTTTGATAATCACAGTGATATTAATTTTTCCTTTTCAGATACATCTGCTATTAAGTCTGCTCCAGGTAATCAAGTTGTCCTTGAAGGAAACAACTTGACTTTACACTGCAATGCATCTGGCAATCCTTCACCTAATATCACCTGGACTAGAGATAAAAGTTCATCTGTCCTACATCAAGGCAATATTTACAATATTGTAAACATACACAGAGATGCAGCAGGGAACTACACATGTACAGCTTGGAATGGAGTTGGTGAACAACAGAATGCTATCGCTGTGGTTGCTGTACACTGTGAGTTTGTAGTTTTATGTACAAAGAAGTAATTCTTAAATATTCTTGGGTAAATTTCAACATTTTTTTCTCTAAATGTACATCACATGGAAAGGGATCTCTCTTTGAAAATTGTTAGTAGTTGGTATGGGAGAAAATATTCTCATATTAAGGAATTAACTCAGTATAAATTGAAGGTGAAGTCATGAAAAGATTGCTCCAAGTAGCCTTTGCTGTGGAATAAAAATAAGTAAAGAGATTTTTAAGTTGAGATGTAACTGACAAACTTTTCTTGTGATATTTACCTTCAAAGTGATCTGCTACACCTTATTTTCAGATGGTGCTGACATTATCTCTGCTCCCAAAAACAAGACAGTCCTGGAATTTGACAATGTTACTTTCTTCTGTAATGCATCAAGTAATCCACCCTCACAGATTATCTGGACCCAAGAAGGAAACAGTACAGTTTTGCATAAAGGAGAAACCTTTGTCATTGAAAATGTTTCAAGAAAACTTAATGGACAGCGATACAAATGTAGGACATGGAACAATGTTACCAAAGATGTGGAGGCACATGCTCAACTCAGTGTCTACTGTAAGTATGACATCATGGTAGCACTACAACATCACTAGGATATGAGAATTCAAAAGCTTGAAGTGCATTGTAAGGGTTGAGCCAACGGTAGTAATTTATATTATTTTCTTAAACCACCTTTTAGAAATGGACCAAGTGTAATACATATAAGGATGGATGAAATAGTTCTGACCACATTGTAAAGTTGGGTTGATCATCTAGAATGAAGTAGAATGATACACATTGACAGAAAAGCAGAGATGGTCAGTTTTGAGCTCGGTGAAGAATTAAGAAAGATGTTTTTTCGTCTTGTCACGAGCGTGGGACAAAGAAAAACTCTGAGTCCCCATGAGGAATCGAACCTCAGACCTTCGGATTTGCGCTCCGATGCTCTACCACTGAGCCACAAAGACTCTTCGGTGAGCGGGGTCTATTACGAAGTTCTAATGACACGCGTCCTGCATACTGCTAGGATCAGCAATGTCGATAGCAGTATGCAGGACGCGTGTCATTAGAACTTCGTAATAGACCCCGCTCACCGAAGAGTCTTTGTGGTTCAGTGGTAGAGCATCGGAGCGCAAATCCGAAGGTCTGAGGTTCGATTCCTCATGGGGACTCAGATTTTTTTCTTTGTCCCACGCTCGTGACAAGACGAAAAAACATCTTTCTTAATGATACACATTGCAAGCACAAAACTGTCTTTCAGTGTTTGGGGGTGTTTATTGATTGCTTTAATGTAAGGTACCCGGTGTAATAGTTTCTGAATGTCACATGTAATTTATGTTGTATTTTTTACTGTTCAGTCTCCTTAAAGGTGTTTGTTAAAAATTATAAAAAATGTTCAAGATAGGTATTGGTATGTCGGTGTTTTCACGTATGTGTTACAAATTGCATTCATAAGTGTAGTATTCGATGTGCGATTAATTCATGTACATCTGAAAGTCTTGGAAATTTTCACAAGACAAATTGTTGGTCCTACTAAATCTGTACGATGTAAGTAATAATAAAATCGTTTTAATGGTTATTTGTTATTAAAAGATGTATTGTAAAGTTAAATTTTCCCTTCAACGCAGCATCTCAAGCATAGAACTCGTTTGGATTGTGAGACTTCTTGGACTTCCACTAAAACTTTTGACATGTGTTGAAGCTGCTTCTCAACTTTGAACCACCATGTATAAAACATCACTTCCAAAAAGTCAATTGGTGATTGGATTGATTGTGATTGCTCTAGGAGCACGACATGGTGTTACATTAGTTGTGTTATTATATGGAATCCCTTGAAATTGGCAAATAACATTTATGAACGTTTGCGCTATTATGAGCGAAATAGAGCTGCACACATTTAGGAAATATTCAGCTCCCTTACCAAACCAAGGTAAACAAGAGCCTATATTCTGGCCGGATTTGCAGTTCAGAGGGAACGAATTAAAGGCCTTGCGGTTTTTAGCGAAACTGTTGTGGAGTGCTTTTCATTGTTAACTAAACATGGGGAGCTATGAAGATTAAGACTTTGTAATTCCAAGTTCTCGCTATGGTGCGAAGATAAATACTGTCCTTCTGTCCACCTTCAGTCTGTTATTTAAATACATGTCGTTACTATGACGAGATCGCGCGACGGTGTGGCATTTCGATTTTTCATACAGTATCATTTGTCCTCAAGAAGATCCACCGTGAAAGAGTGCGATTTGGAAACACTTAACATAAATTCGACGAAAACTTCGATATCAAGATTAATTTTAGAGAAAGATGTTTTTCGTGTTGTCACGAGCGTGGGACAAAGAAAAAATTCTGAGTCCCGATTCCGCGCTCCGATGCTCTACTACTGAGCCACAGAGACTACGGTGAGCAAGGTATATTACAAAGTTCATGTGACACGCGTCCTGCATACTGCTAAGATCAGGAATGTCGATGGCGTCATCTTTTAAATCCAAGAATTAACAAGGACTTTGCTTCGCATGCTGTTGACGTCAGTTTTGAAAGCCATGAGCTGTCAAAATTAAAACTTTCAAAAGCTGCTGAGCTCGACAAAATCCCTTCAAAACTCCTCAAAGACGCAGCCTCCGTTATAGCCAAGCCAGTCACTTATCTTATAAACCGTCACAGTGGAAGGAAGCAAAATTAACTCCAATTTATAAGACTAAGAGGAAGGATGATGAGAACAACTATCGTCCAATTTCGGTTCTCCCCTTAGTTTCTCAGTAAAGTGATGGAAAGTGCAGTTCAAGTTCGAATGTTTGCCTTTCTTGACGAATACAAAGTTCTCTCGGTCTTTTAACCCGGTTTCCGTAAGAAGCGTGCCACCGGAACTGCGGTTGTCTACCTGGTTGTACCATTATACCAAAATGTTTTCAAACTTAATACCAATTGGTAAGCCGCATGAGAGGTATGGCCCGCACCACGAGTCCTATTTCTATCGACCGCCTACAGGTGGAAAATGTCATGTTCTCTTGGCTCATATCAGCGCTATGACTTTATTTGTTTTTATGGTGCTCCTGGTAACGCAAACCTTACTACATCTCCCAGTAACACTGCAGTTCTCTGTAAAAGCAGCCTAGCACAACCACGATCATTTGTTTATCTTTTCATTAGCGTTTTTTTGTGTTGAGTATTCACAAAAGCAGTGAAAGAAATAGCTACTCTCTCATTTGCACAGGTAAAATACAGCACTCCAAGAGCTGGCACCGATAGTAGAAGTTGACGATAACCTTTGTCATTTTCATGATTTGATTCATTTTTTTTTAGATGCTCCTGGCGGTGCAAAACTCATTTCAGTTCCCAGTAACACGACAGTGCTTCGCAAAAGTCCTCTCAATTTAACATGCCGAGCCGATGCCAGTCCTGAAGCTAAATTTGATTTGTACTTTAACGGTAGACTCAAAAGGACCAACAGCTCGGGGATTTTTAATGTTACTGTGATGTCTGATGGTGTGTACACCTGTGTTCCTTTCAACAAAGTTGGTGCTGGAAAAAATGTCAGTGTCAATGTTACAGCTGTTGGTGAGTTAAAATTCAGTTTAATATTCTCGATTGCAAAAACCGGAAAGTCACTAACCATGAACGAGTAGAAACAGTGATTTACTTTTATTTTTATTTATGCAAATGTTTTTTATGATAATTCCTTTTCTTTCGGTAAAGCTGGTATAACTTTTTCATTCAACATTTGCAAGCAGTTGTGTTTGTCTTAACATGTACACCCATTAAGCCGTTGGGTCTTATCGCTGAGTTTTTGTACACGAGCGACTGAAAGAATCAAAGTCATTTTGTCACAGCTCACGTGATAGTACAATTTTTGTTATGGAAATTGATTGCTGTGTAAATCGTGGATAAAATTATCCCCAACTTCATTAAATTTTCCTATCTAAATAGACAGGGCTTATCTTCAAATGTCTGTTAAATTACTAATCATAGTAATTGTCTTCCAGAGGCGCCATCGGTTTCAGTTTTACCTGAAGCAATAACTATCAATGACGGAAATAGCTTAAACTTGACATGTAATGCGTCTGGCAAACCAGAGGCCAGCATTAAGTGGACCATGGTTGACAACTCTGAAGTCCTATCCACTGATTCACGACTTACTGTGAATGTAAGCAGACAGTCAGCAAAGAAAAACATGATCCAGTATCAATGTACAGCCAGTAATGGAGTGGGAACACCCGCTACAGCTACAGTCAATGTAACTGTTCACTGTGAGTAGCTATTTGTATAACAGTCTTGAAACTGCAAGAAATATTTAACAGTTATTTTTTACATCATTGGATGTAAGAATCCAAGCAAATGTGAATGAAATGATAGCCTAAAGCTATAAAATTCACTGAGATACTCTGGGAAACAAACCCTACAAACCTTGTTTGAGTTTCTGCTCTACTTGTTCGTGTCAGACGGCGTTCGTTTTATGTTGTTATTCTACAGAAACAAAACTCTCAGTAGATTATCCATATTGAACGTAATTGGGTTTCGTAATAAACGCAGAATAATAAGCGCATACCTCGGGCTTTTTACAAAACCGATGTTAAATACAATCCTGCGTTTATCAAATTCCGGTTGCAAAATTCATCAAATTTTAACGCTGCGATTCAAATCTTCCTCTGCCTGCACGAGCCAAATTCGCCTATTTTCAATTCCTACGGGCCTATCCGCAGTGGCAGACCAAACAAGAATTTTCCCGAAAAAATCAAAGTATAAATTTTGTCATGACAAATTTTTGTCTCCTCTGTTGCATCTGCACTAAAAATTCATTGTAATTTATTCAGTTTGGCTTTACGCGCCATAACATCAAACGTTTTGGTGGGACATTGGAACAAGTTCAAATGCTTTAACTTGTGGCGTGTTTCTTGTTTTCAAATTTCGCTCAGATGGCGGACGAAATGATGCTTATGATGAGCCTAGTATTTAGGCATAGACTTCTTAGACACCAAGCAATTCTTTTAATGATTGAACACCGTAGAAGACGGAGACTCCGGGCACGTCGTCAACACAACCCGTACTTTTCGGAAACTTCGGCCAAGACCAGACTGGGCTTGGTTCGAGATCCACTACAATGACCAAACAATTCCCGGGGAGTTTTTCGGAAAGCAACTGCGAATGAATCTTTGTACCTTCGATATTCTGTTGAATGTTTTGCGACCTGCCGAAACACGCGAAAACACAAAATTGCGATACTGTAATTCGCTGTAATTCGCCAATGGATTAAAACTCCAATTACCGGGATTCATCTTAAGTGTAAGTTGCAAAATCTGTGAGTTCCGCAAAGAAGGACAATTACTGCAATCTTTTGGTAAACTGAACCCAGTGCAATTACCACACTAATGGTAGAGTTTACGACAAATGACAGATAAGTTTATCATGGTTTTGTTTATTTAGTAGATTTTGCCAGGCTCTTACTTACCTACTTCGGCAAAAAATTGCTAAGTCGCGACAAACCATCCGCACTTGTTAGGTGTTAGTGATGACAGAAAATTTGTCTAAATAAACAATTTTGTCGCTAGTGCGGATAGGCCTTATGATAAGTCTCGCCTCATAATCGCTCAATAAATATGTGCATTTTAACGCGATAGTTTTTGTTTACAAGGTTTTCTCCGCATACATCTGATAATAAATCTCTGTTTTCTGCCTCCGAACGATATACCACGGAAGGCATTTTATGGACCGTACGTTTTTGACTGATTGAAATCAAAGATATGTGGCAGTGAGTCACAAGTTTTTTTTTTTGTCAGAAAAGTATGGTTTTTCATCCGTGAAAGTAATCTACTGATCGATCCCATCGCCAATGTTAAAGTAAGACTAGTAATAATCAAAAATTAGTAAAGTGCGTTCGATCTCTAGTAAAAGTTTTTTTTATTTTACTGATGCGCAGAAAGATCGGTGTCTTCAGCTAAAGGCGACCAAGAAAATATTTGCACATGAGATCGAGGCTATTTGAGCCACATGGCCAGCCAGCCAGTCAGCCAGCCAGTTCAAAATCGCGCCCAATGCCTGAAATCGCATGGCATCACAATCGAACCCCTTGGGACTGGTCCATAAAACCCTCGAGGGTGATTTCCGTAAAAACGACACGATTAGTATGCGTTCTCCTTCGTCGAACGCAATAATTGAATTAATTGATAGAAATAAATCAATCGGCCTTTAAACTTTAACTGTTCCTACGGTTGATGTTTCTCAGTACGTTAACAATTGAAGCGATTTACAGTATTAGGTTTGTGCTTTAAATAAATATTTTAACGTTTACTCGAAAGATAAGTGTAAATTGTAACAAGCTTGGTTAGCATCTATGCGCAGCCCAGCACTTTAAGCCTGCATACACTCGATGCCAAACTCAAACTCAATCTCGTTCCATGTCGCTATGTCCACACATTACTTTACGCCGATTAAAAACTGCCACGTAGCGCCTATTGTGTATTTTCCTGCGGAGGAAAAACTTAATTGAATTTCTGATTCTGGCCCGTTTACTGCCAGAATAATTATGATGAGACTGTTTGGTGGGTCTTAAATTAGTGTTTATACCTGACAATGCTATTTTTTAATCTCGTTAGTGGCATCGAGCTACATGTAATTCCGAGTTCTCGCTATGGTGCCAAGATGAATACCTTCTTTCTGTCTACCTTCAGTTTGTTATTTAAATACATGTAGTTACTATGACGAGATCGAGCGACGGTGTGACATTTCGATTTTGCAAACAGTATCCGGCATTCGTCAAGAAGATCCACCGGTAAAGAGTGCGATTTGGAAACACTTAACACTTAACACTTGTGTTTATGCTCAATGAACGGCTTCATTGGAAAGAGCATACCCACTCTATTTGTAACAAAGTCAACAGGCGTTTGGGACTTCCGGCACGGATAAGAACTTGCCTTACTCTTAAGGCAGCGAAGTTTGTATACAAAACCCTTATTGAGCCAATCCTGTGTTATACCGACACTGCATGGGGTGAACTGTCAGCCACCTCTAGCAATACCCTTCAACGGTTACAAAATCGTGCTGCCGCATCATTTTGAGGCGTGACTCCTCTAAAGACACTTCTAGTGTTTTAGGGTGGGCTCAGTCACAAATGAAACGGAAAAGACACAAACGTGTTTTAGTCTATAAATGCTTAAATAAGATAGTACCCTAGTATCGATGTGACTGTTTTATTAAAAACTACGATGTACATAGCTATGACACTCCAATAGAAGCGATTTGGACCTGCCCAAACCGAAGCTGAACCTTGCGAAACGAACTTTTAAATATTCGGGCTCAGCCATCTTTAATTTGTTGCCTCGTTACATTCAAAACGCGGGTCACTCTCTACCTTTAAATTTTTGATGAATACTCGCGGTTTTTAACCTTTTGTAGTAATTATTATTATTACATCCTGCAATTTTAAATTAATATTTATTGTATTTTTAAGTTATTATACTTTTTAGTCCAGAGCCCCTCTACATACCAGCCTTACGACTGATTGCGCCACCCTGGTGAATTGAAGTTTACCTTGCTCCTTTACCCAAGGAGAGGGATACTTTAGAAAAGCTTGCACTCTCTCTACCCATACCTTTTGTACCATTATACCAAAATGTTTTCAAACTTCATACCAATTGGTAAGCCGCATAAGAGGTATGGCCCGTACCACGAGTCCTATTTCTATCGACCGCCTTGGGGTGGAAAAATTTTATGTTCTCCTGGTTCATATCAGTGCTCTGACTTTATTTGCCTTTTGTAGGTGCCCTTGGTAACGTAAACCTTACCACATCTCTCAGTAACAATGCAGTGCTATGTAAAAGCTGTCTAACACTACCATGATCATTTGTTTAGCTTTTCATTAACGTTTTTTCGTGTTGAGTATTAACAAAAGCAATAAAAGAAATAGGTACTCTCTCGTTCGCACAGGTAAAATACAACACTCTAAGAGCTGACACCAATAGAAGCAGTTGACGATAACCTTTGTCGTTTTCATGATTTGATTCCCTTTTTTTTTAGATGCTCCTGCTGGCACAAAACTCATTTCAGTTCCCAGTAACACGACAGTGCTTCGCAAAAGTCCTCTCAGTTTAACATGCCAAGCCGATGCCAGTCCTGAAGCTAAATTTGATTTGTACTTTAACGGTAGACTCAAAAGGAGCAACAGCTCAGGGATTTTTAATGTTACTGTGATGTCTGATGGTGTGTACACCTGTGTTCCTTTCAACAAAGTTGGTGCCGGAAAAAATGCCAATGTCAGTGTTACAGCTGTTGGTGAGTTAAAATTCAGGTTAATATACTCGATTGCAAAAACCGGAAAGTCACTAACCATGAACGAGTAGAAACAGTGATTTACTTTTATTTTTATTTATGCAAATGTTTTTTTTTATGATAATTCCTTTTCCTTCGGGAAAGCTGGAATTACTCTTACCAATCATCATTTGCAAGCGGTTGTGTTTGTCTTAACATGTACATCCATTTAGCCGTTGGGTCTTATCGTTCAGTTTTTGTAGTCGAGCGACGAAAGAAACAAAGTCGTTTTTTCACAGCTCACGTTGCGAGTCTGTTAAACCCTGAGAGTACAATTTTTGTCATGGAAATCGATTGCTGTGTAAATCGTTAATATATTTATCCCTAACTTTATTAAATTTTCCTATCTAGACAGACAGGGCTTATCTTCACAAGTCTGTCAAACCACTAATCATAGAAATTGTCTTCCAGAGGCGCCATCGGTTTCAGTTTTACCTGAAGCAAAAACCATCATTGACGGGAATAGCGTAAACTTGACATGTAACGTGTCTGGCAAACCAGAGGCCAGCATTAAGTGGACCATGGTTGACAATTTTGAAGTCCTATCCACTGATTCACGACTTACTGTGAATGTAAGCAGACAGTCAGCAGAGAAAAACGTGATCCAGTATCAATGTTCAGCCAGTAATGGAGTGGGAACACCCGCTACAGCTACAGCCAGTGTTACTGTTCACTGTGAGTAGCTATTTGTATAATAGTCTTGAAACTGCAAGAAATGTTTAAAATCGTTGGATGTGAGAATCCAAGCAAATGTGAATGAAATGATAGCCTAAAAGTATAAAATTCACTGAGATGCTCTGGGAAACAAACCCTACAAACCTAATTTGAGTTTTTGCTTTACTTGTTCGTGTCAGACGGCGTTCGTTTCATGTTGTTATTCTACAAAAACAAAACTCTCAGTAGATTATCCATATTGAACGTAATTGGGTTTAAATAAATTTCCCATGAAATCTCCATAATACGTATATTGTGGATCAGTGTCGAAATTGAAGTTTATGTCCCAACTCTAGGAAACAATGAAGTCACTCACCTCCCACTCAACTCACACCCTAACCGAAATTGCTTTCTTTCCTTTGAAAACCCAATGAAATTATAGAAGTGTTTTTTTGTTATTCAGATCCACCAATGTTTCCTGACCCGGAGAATGTAACAGTGAACGGAAAAGCTAAGCAAAAAGTGAATCTTTTGTGCAGTGGAGATGGTAGTCCTAAACCGACGATTACTTTTACAGCGATTCATATCAATGGTAGTCGCCAAATCCTTTCTTCAGGAAACATCACTGTGATAGTGGGACCTGAGGGTCCTTTCTTGTTTCAGTGTTCGTTAATAAATTACTTGGCCGACCGTACCAGGTGGTTCCACTTAGGTGGGTGAATTTGAAACAAGGTATACCTTAATCTATTTTAAATACTTTTTTTTTTAATTGTTATGCGGATAACCGGTATACTTTCGGTCCCAGACCGTTCCCGGTTCTCCGTTCGCCGTTTTAGTAACCTCCCTTGAAGGTGTGCCGTATCCTTAATATCCTTCATCCATTAGAACCACTGTTGAACAAACTTTAAAATTTGTTTTAAAACAGGCATCTGTTGCTGAGGACCACCCAGCACGCACGTCGCCACTATCGTAGGACAACCTACGCAGAACGCATTTTGCGCGAGAAATACAACAGTTCAGAGCAGTTTAAGGGAAACTTTTCGTTGTGCATTTGAATTTCATATACAACTAAGTTTGTGAGCTGCACCTTTTAGTTACTGGCTCTTTAAATTTTAATGCACGCATAGATGAGACCATACAAGAACATAACTCACCTTTTTTAAAAACCTGGTGACCATGATGTATTAAAACATCATGGTAGCCAGGTTCGAAAGGTAGTTTTTAAGGCAACTGCAACACTTCATCGGTAACTTTCGGTCAAGTTTACTCCATACTGTTCATGAACGTAGCGGTTGAGATTTGAAGAAGTAAAGGAGATGCGTCAAATTCAGACGTGAAAGTCATGTTATTGTGAGATTTTCTAGATGAAATTTGTCTATCGATTGTTTCTGTTGCAAAATTCTCATCACCAATTACAGCTTGGAGAGGCTTTATACAATATTTATGCACTCATTGGTATGATCCGATACGAATCAAGAAGATACTTATCAGAAAGAGTCGTACGCGTGAATTTTCCGCGACTTATTCTTGGTTTAAAGGAAGCTCCATTCTTTTTTTTTTTGGATAGCGAAGATAAGTATACCATTAGCGGTGAATGAGTTAATGAGTTGTTATTTTGCTTAGTGAGGCAGAAACCAAGAGCACTTTAAAGTTTAAACCGATTTCTCCTCTTTCCTTACAGTTTTAAATGTTATGAAGATCGAAATGACGATGTCCATCGAGAACAAAGACTGCGGAGATAATACTGAAGAAATTACCAAAGAGACGAGTAAACTTGTAAGTAAAATAAAGAAAGTTGTCTTTCGTTTTGTCATGAACCAGGGAAAACGATAAAATTTGAGTTTTTCTTCGGCAGTAAAACACCAGACCTCTGGATTTCGTTTTTTCTGATGCACCACATTTGAGACCATCAAGCACCATCAAGTTCCCTGTAATGTAGCTTCTGTTGTATAGCACAGGAAGGCGGAACCTTAAGGTCTCGGGTCTGCTTCCTCGCGGAGAACTAAATGGACACCAACCTTCTTTTTTGCGACAACCCAGCTTAAAATTGTCCATTTTTCATTTTCTATTGCAGTGACTTGAAGTTTCCATTCAGTATGCTTTTCATCCATTTCATATTCGCTAGTCAAAGTTGTTAGATTAACATTTGCTTTACATTAGGCACATGATTTCCAGAGTAGTGAGAAGTTGACGTAAATAGAAATTTTTGCTTTCATTCCCTCACTTGATCATTCCATCATGAAGCACACCTTTTAAATGATGTAGAGTTTTTTTCTTAAAACCACTCCATAATTCTATAAAAGTTTATTGAATTAACGTTTTTGTGGCTCGTTATGGCTAATGTCCAGAAGAATGTGTTAGTACATACACCTCATTGACTTTACTGTCTGATATTTTTCCTCGCCAGGTGACTGACATTTTAAAGAAAAGGGACATACCTGTTGAGGACGTTAAACCTGTAGCACTTGGGTATGATATCCTCTTACTCGTTTTCTGTGTGGGTCTGCTCATTATGTGTTATTAAACAGATCTTTTAAATCGTAAGAATAAATCATCTCATGTATAGGACAGTAGTGGGGATATTAAACCAACAGAATTGTGGTCATTATTTCTAGATTCTTCTTTGTTCATTTTGGTGAGGGCATGCAAAATTTTAGATTAAAGTTATTTGACCGGAAATGAAACACATGACTTGAGGATGGTGGCAATTAATACACCCATTCCGTTCATAGCGGACGTTACGGACGTGCAGCACGAAAATGAGGCTAGTCAGTCCTTAGTTTACGGCAACGCCTTCATTCTGCTGCGTGCCTGAATGCAATCAAAAAGGTTACAGAGGGGACAACCATAAGAAGATATCATATTTTAATTTTCTTACCGATAAAACAAGACGTATGCAGTGGCTGCATGCGATGAGGAGAGAGGAAGGAAAAGACTTACGCGTGACAAAGAAGAGCAAGGTGCGCTCTCGACACTTTATCTCAAGTGATTCGAGAAATTCGCTCAATGGAAGAGTGTATCTAAAGGGTAATGCGATGCCCTCAAATGGTTTCCGGGATCGCCAAGAAAACGGAACGCTCCAGCAGTGCAACTTCCCTCATAGGCTACGGAAAAGCAAAGAAGACGAAATTATCGACCAGCACCAAGACATGCTGCTGTTCAGATTCATTCAAAGACAGTGATACCCTGCAAGCGACAAATGCGAGTGAGTTGAAGAAGGATGCTGGGTGGAAAAGCGGAGTGGACAGCTGGAGCCTCCAGACCTTAAGCGTCAACTCTCAAGCACGGTAAAAAAGCTCCACGAAGCCGTAAAACGAATAAATGTACTCCTGTTTGGTAAAATATAAACATAGTAAACACATATGACTTTGCTGGGGTAAGATAGGATTCAACAAAAAGTCTCCTAGGTGTAAAGCAAAAGTTAGACTGCATCAAAGTTATGGCATTATGTCAATTGATTTAGCAAAAAATTCAGTGGCTGCTGGGGAAATGAAATTATCAAAGAAGTAGCTCTGCCATTAACCAGTTCTAAATGAAAATTAGGATCAGAACATGCTTCTGCGGGAGTAACTCTAAACTTTAATTCAGGACGTTTCATTTCTGCTAATTCTAATGGATCCCTGCATCCAGTGTCATTTACTTAAGCATCTGGCAAAGCACCAAGGATTGCTAAGTCTTGACACACAACAAACCCTGATTTGAGCTCTTGAACTGGATTTCGAGTAGAGAACATCTACTTTTGATATTGTATCAAGGCCATGGACTTACTGAGAACAGTTTGTCTAAAGGAGAAAGGCTTTGGATGTAGGATGTTCTGCTTAAGAGTAGAATGATTTCTTTTTCTGTTCACTAATAATCCAAAATTTGAGGCAGTAAACCTATATTTCCTTTCATTTTCCCATGCCTCTGAATCAGCTTGTGCAGTAGTTTTTTGTTTAATTTCATTCAGTTTGTCCTTGTCAACAGTTAGATGTACTGAAAGTTTCTCCTCCAGTTCATTAATTTCATTTGGGTGTTGAAATTTTGGGACATTAACAACAGGAAACTGTGGAAAACTCGATCAGATAGGCCTCGGTAGACTTGAATCAATTCGAGGCACAGAGTTTATTTCACAAACCGCTCGAAAATTGGCTTCAGTAAAATTTAACTGTTAGCTTCCATATGATCCTAGGTGGAATTTCCCAAGTCTAGTCTCTATTATGTTGCTGTCACTTGTTCTGGGGGTCCTAATCTGTGCCAAAGGCATTGCAGGATTAATTTGAGAGACTTGCTGCTTGAATTTAACTTCATCAGCAAACTGTGTTCTCAAATTATATCTGGCTTCGTTAGAAGGCAATTGACTCCAAGCTCTTTTGGGGAGTCGGAACTATCACTGAGCGTCGTTTTCTTTACAGAAATTTCTAGAACAGGTTCTGGGTCAAGTGAATCCCGCCACCTTAAAATGGTGGGGCGAATCGCTCTTTATAAAACTATGGTGACACTTGCACTCAACGGAAAAGTGCACTTGATTGCATGCACCGATACATCGCTCAAATGTTCAATTCCTGAATACGTTTTGCCTTTCTCATCCTAGTTGGGACTGCGTGAGTCTCACTGTGAGGATAAATTTGCTTTCCAGATCTTGATATATGTATATTCAACTCAGCTCGAGTGAGCATGGGCATACGCAACAGGCTAGAAGACCAACCGTCTTCAGGATATTTAATTGGCTGTATTGATGATGCGACTCCCTAGTCTACATAACCTATTTGCTTTTCTTTTCTTTTTGAATAAATTTTATCCTGATCTGAGTCAATAATATTCTTGTAGCGGCCTCTAAAAATGTATTCTTCCAACCTACGGTTTTGAGAGACAAAATTTAATTGTTTAAACAGTTATTACTTTCATAACCTCAAAGTTATCATATAAGCTAACAAGAAGCTGCTTTCAACAACGTGGTTTTCGTAAATTCCAAGTTACCTTTTTACGTATTCTGCTTTTGTTTTGAGTCCTTTGCAAGAGTCGCCACGACATCGAGCCAAAATTTCGCTCTTCAATTTTATGCCGAGAAGACATCTTTCCTTCAAGGGAAGCACCTGGAATATCTTCCTCTGTGAGCTTCACAGCATCACCAGATCCTCCAGATGCGGCCATATTTTAATGAATTTTCCTTGCGGCGCAAGGACTGACTAGCCCCGTTTTCGTGCAACTCGTCTATGCCTTCCGTCGTTTCTGGAATGGGTGTATGAAGACACGAAATTTACTACCTTAGGCCCTTTATGTACTGACTATACCGTGAGGTTGATTTAGAACCACAACAACTAATGCCATTCTTTATTTGAAATAACACGTGGAACCTGTCGCAAAAGTTAGTCATACCCCACGCAAGCACAAAGCAGCGATTGGAGTTTCGGCCATGATGAGATTTTTTAATTTGCTTCCTTAGGGATGAACTATGTCCCAGTGATGTTTTATGTCATTGACTACGTTCTTATGTTCCCATGAGAATCTTAAGGTGGAGTCTCTGGCACAGAAAATAATAGAGGTGTAGCTGCATAATTATATGCTAAAGACCATATTTGGGTTGAATTTTTAAAGGTTTACCTAGCCGTTCATTAAGAGTGCTAAAATTGGACTCTGGATGCGCCATTTTGAAACCAAATTTGTATCAAAATCACAACGCGTGGCTCAGAAACAGCTGCGTCCCAGTTTACCGTGAAAAAAAGGATCTTTATTCTAATTTTATATGGTCCTCTAGTATTGCCTCCATTTGTTGAAATAGATATTTAAGAGATAAAAGATATGGTTAAAGACTTATTTCCGAAACAGGTAGTGGGCCGGGATGTTAAACAAGGTTCATAGTGACGGCGTTTGAAGTCAATTTTCATTGGAAAAAAAAAATTTTCGGGGAAGGGGGAGGGGGGGTCATTTTGCTGTTTGGATTCTCAAAGTGAGGTCAGGGAAGTTACAGCTTTTCGACTTGTTGTAGGCCTGTTCTCTGTTCCCTGTTCCTATTATTATGTTGTTTCAACATATGCTAGAGTCGTATCAAAAAAAAGTCGAGCGGCCAGGAAAAAATTGTGTAGGGCCTCTGGGCCCATAAAGGGGGTAAGTTTCTAGAGAAAGTGTGGTGCTGCGTCGGTGAGAGAGTATTGTAGGTGTCATTTGGTATTATAACTGAATTGATAACGTAAATTGGCCACCGTAAAGATTTTCAAAGCTGGCTTTTCGAGCGTTAGCCCTTTGTCAGAGCGATAGGGGCTACGGGCCCATAGGCTCGGTATGCCCTTGACGGTTACTGTCATAATTCCATATTTACTTTGTGATAGTAGAGACAAAGAATTTGTGGTTTCTGGGAAATGCTTTTGCTTTAAGGTCCAGTGAAGTTTGGAGAGCGCAAGAGAAGCGTAAGAGTTGCTCGAGGCGCAGCTCTCTCGAGTTTTGTATAACAGCTTGCAGACACAAATTGTGCCCAAAAAAAAGAGTTTATTACAACTGTGTCGGTGTACCTGGTAATCGTGTTCCACCTGAAAACTATGAATAAACGACAAGGCAAAAATGACCAAGAAGTATTTCGAGACCAAATCTTTATTAAAAAGAATTGTAAAACGAACGAATTTCTTGCAAGAACGAGACCACGTAGTGGGTTCAGCATGCTTGAATCGTTGTTTACTAGAATTAGCGGTCAGAAAATTGCATAGATTTGCCTTGAAAATTTTTAAAATTCTGAAATTGTGCGGTTTTAAAATTAAATTCTGAACAATATACTTTTACGAAATATCAACAGCTAAAAATAACATCAACGGTTTTAAAAAACGAACCGAAAAACTGAAATATTTCTTGCATTTATGAGACCCATGAGGTAGATTTACCCTGCTTGAATTGTTGTTTTACAGAATTTATGACCAGAAAAATTCCGTAGCTTGTTTTGAAAATTCTGAACATTGTACGATTTCAAAACATTGAACAACGCTTTTGGGACATATCAACACTTCAAAATAATATTTACCGTTAAATGAAGATTGCCCAACGTCGTAAAGCCTCCGTTGAAGTCAGAAAGCTTTTGTTTACAGCCATAATTCCCATCCTGTTTGGGAATGAAGTATCGTCAACTCCAAAACTAATTTCGTCGCTTGAAAGAACTACTTGCTCATCGCTTTTCGAAATAAGTATTATTTAGCTTATTTTCTTTTCATTACGAGCTCCAAAAGGTTTATCTCAATCGAGCGGGGAAAAAATCTTTGAAACCTCGCGGCTAACTTTCAGTCGGAGTGAAATTGCCCACGTCATATGCTGGATGAACGGCCATCCAGTACATAAGGATTTTTACCATGCTATCTCCTTAGGAAATAGGTAGGCCTTGCGCGCGCTAAGATATAATATTTTAAAATATGTTTCAGGAGATTCGTGGAGCTCGAGTGGAATTTGTTCTTGAGTCATAATGAAATGACGATATGTCACTGGAAATGAATCTATTTTCGCGGGAACAACTATTTCTTTAAGCATTTCACATAAAGAAAAAGGTTTTCAGTAAATCATTGAGGGGATTTAAACGTCTCAGTGCAGCACGGTTCTGTCATGGCTTTCATATATTTTTATCTCACCTTTCTATGTCGGGGTTTTTTGTTTTTGTTTTAATTGTTTTGTTTTGCGTTATACGAGTGAACTTAATGTGCGTACCTGTTTTTCGTTATTCTTATTTTTCATGTCAGGTGTGGCAGTGTAAAAGTGTACTTCTCACTGACCTTTAGTCAAAATGTCGAGCTCGAAAACGTGTTGACGATTTTGATGAAGGCTGCGGTAGAGAAAAAGTTTGGTGACTTACAAGTTGATCCGAATTCCATCCGAGCAATTTCACCGGAACAGATCCCTAAGACACCTACGCCTACGTTTGCGCCTACGCCTACGCCTACGCCTACGCCTACGCCTACCAATGTTGACAAGGGAAATTCTGCAGGTGCGCTTAATTTCTTGTTCTCACTAAGACTTTACACATATCACGAAGAGGAAATAAACATTTTTTCCTAATATCACTAGTATCTTAATGGACACCCACATTCCCTTACATTTTATTCTGGTAAACCAAGGTGTATTTTCAGTTGATTGAATACGAAAGTTGTACAATAGCTGCCGGACTTATTTTTTGGTTAATATATCGCGAGCCACTAAGATGAAGGTACTACTGTTTTACTCGAAACCAGGGTGATCACTGGTTACTTGATCAGTCTTCAGTGCAACTGTATCTGAGTTTTGAAAACATTGTTTGACATTGTATTTAGTTTATTGGGTCTTAACAAACCAAAGGAAAAATATCAAATGAGAATGCTGCGGTTGATTCCTGCAAGGCGGCCTGTAAGTTGGGTGATCACTTGTTTTATCTTTTTCAGCGCCAAAATGCGAAGTTTTTATCCCAGTAGGCAATTGTCTACATAAGTTCTTGTTTATTACAAACGCTTTAATGCTGTTCAGAAAGAAATGATCTTCAGTCGCTTATCTTTTCATAGTTAACCCCAGAGAATGTCAATGTTACCATTTCTTGTACATTGGAAGTTATGGTGAAAAAAAGTTTGAAAGAAGATTTTTTCATTTGTCACAAGCTTGGGACACAGGATAATCTGAATCCCAACAGATTTCTGAATCCCCAACAGATTTATAAATCCTTTCATTGCGACGCACACTCTCTCACAAGTTTTTCTTTTGTTCGAAAACCGAGTTTGGTGGACGTCAGTCGATGCTTTTTTTTTACCTTAGAAGGCTTCTCGTCGTTTTAGGAGTTTAAGATGACGGAGGGCTTATGTGTAGGTGCATTTATTATAGCTCTTTGAAAAGGGTATTTTGTCCAATCCTCACGTAACTCACGGAAACAACTGTTTGACGTCAACAGGAACTCGGCATTTGATTGAAGAACACCTTGTTAGCGGTGACCGCTATTGTTAGATTTTAGAAAAGACACTTTTCCTAGCCAGTTAGTAAGGTTCCATCAAACACGTTTCTCTTTAAATGCGTAGCACATTAAACATGGAACAAAAAGCTTTTCTGTGGAAGAAAATTTCCTTTTCCGCATTTGTTACTCCCTAAGTTGCAATGCTGTGTATACAGTATACAAGGAAACGTAAAAAAACAGCTAACTAAACATTTTTTTCGCTCTTAGTGAGCAAGGGTTTAATTTTTGGCCTGACTGCTGCGGGCGTCATCTTGCTTTCCGGGACATTTGCTGGTGTCATCTACTTCTTTTACAAAAGAAGGAAGTGTAGAAAAGATCCCAGGGGTAAGTAGGGTTGATGTTTGTATCAATTTTCATTGTGACTAGGTATGAGTGAAGGGCTTTAGCACATTGAGTTTACTTTAAGATGAAATTAAATCAAAGTCGACGTACTCAACTTAGATGAAAAGTGCATGTAACAAACTTTTCAGTTTTGTAAGGAATGTGAGTACTCTGAATGTATGTATACACTCAGAATTGTTACTTTGTGTAGGCTGGAAAATCGTTTTGCAGGGTTAATGATAATAATACAAAGGGATGAATTGTTTCAAGATATGATACCTTCAATGCTCTTCATTTTATTACCAAGTCTTCTCAAATCATCCTATTAAGTTAATCTGTAAGAATCACCGTGGACCACTTCGGTATACTTTATTGGCCCTTCCCACGCCCCCTAAATTTTCTGCATGAGTATTGTTTAAGCTCTTTAATTTTTCTTAAAAGAATTACGGGTCTTAAGAAAAATTATAAACATTGCTTTTCAAAACTTTGGAACCAAAGACAAAATGTATAGTGGGCACTTGGACAGTACCGAAGCAAGTGTTACAAAGAATAGTTGTCTTCATGCTGATATTGATGCTGAGCAAGTCTGTTATTGTACATATATGTTACAAGCTAACCTTTATTTGTATTTTTTTCCAAATTTTTTTTTTAAATAACAAGTTCACAGTAGCAGGTCTGAAGAGAGACCATGGTAAGTTTAAAACAGGTGTCTGTTTCTTTGTTCTGAGGTCGTTGCACCATTATGTACGAAACATTCATCAGTGGGTGTGGCAAACAATAACTCGAATTTACACTACTGTTAGTATTTGCGTTAATGGGAACAGGTGGCTGCATATTTTCTGAAATTTTTCTTGAAAAGTTTTGCGAGTGTAACTGTAAATTATAGCAGCTTACTGTAGTCAATACCAATTCTAAAATGAATTTGGCTCGAAAAAAGTTTGTTGAAAATTTTCCGGTCCCCTTCGAGATTCATCAGTCCTTTTGTTCAATTGTTTTTGAAGTCGTAGAGAAAGGATAGAAGTTATCGGTTTATAATTAAAAATTTTTATTATTAGTATATATTTTTTTTCAAATTTAAAACTATATTTTACTTCTGCGATATTTAAGTTTGTGAACAAATGATTATTCTTATTACTCAGTGGCCACTCATATGTGTTCGAATTGTTGACTAGGTGACGTATATCTTATTTTGATCGATTTTAAAATGGCTGTTAAGCAGAAAGTTTGATTATTGATTGTGTGCCATTGTACTGTTGCTGTTTCATTTACATCTTTGGTTTGGAAACCATACTGAATCGTATGCAATTGTTGCAGTTCGCTGTCACAGAATGATTATTGTCAAGTCAATAACGGATATGCAGAGGCGGGTCCACAGTCCACAAAAGTAGCCAACTTAGACCACCACCACGGAGAGGAAGGTGCTGCCGCGGTACCTAATTATGCTGTTGTGGTAAAGTCCAAAAAGAAAGATAAAAAGAAGGAAAAGAAAGGTGCTGAAATGAATCCATGCGAAGATGAGTATGCTGTAGTGGACAAGTCAAAAAAGAAGACGAAGAAGAACGAACCAGATGCTACTTACGCTGAAGTCGACTTGGTAAAGAAGTCGAAAAAGGTATGCTGACCACTGCTTGTTTTTTTTAAGTTATTTACTTACTTAGTTAAGTTTTATCCCCACTTTACAGACAACCCTACATTTTGTCCTTTATTGAGTTTTTTTTCAAACTCAATATTAGCGTGTAGAGTGGTATGTTGCTCGCATTAATCAGATCGCCGCATAGGGGTATGCATCTAGCACTAATCAGATCGCAGCACTAGGATTTGTATCTCGCACCAATCAGATTGCCGCATTAGGGTATGTATCTTATACCAATCAGATTGCCGCATCAGGGTATGTCTCTCGCACCACTCAGATTGCCGCATTAGGGTATGTATCTCGCACCAATCATATCATAGCATTCGGATATCTTGCACCAATCACAGCGTTTGGGTATTGTTTTTTTTGCAAATGATGTCATGGAATCAGGGGGCTGTGCACAAGGAATGACATTAACCAGAAATTTTGGGCTGAATTGATAAGTGTAATGGTTTGTGGCCTTCGCGAAAGCCTCGTTGATTAAGGTCGAGATTTACCGGGATTGGAAAGGGTCGCATTTAACTTTTTAAATCATTTTCAACTTAAAACGTTTTTTTTTTCGCTTCTTTACTCACAACGCACACGCTAAACATCTTATATTCCGTCCAAAGTCCAATCAGAACATACCTAATCATTGCACTACATGAACATTAGGCAATTTTTCACGTGCTTGAATTGTATTCACCAATCAAATTCCATTTTGCCTCTTAAAAATTCGCTCCGTCACGTGTTATTTCCTTGTAAACAACCTATATTTTATCACGTATTCTACCCGCACTGTCCAACCCCAACGAAAAAAATTCACATGGAACTATCTGATTGTGAATTTTCCTTGTAAACAACCTATATTTTATCACGTATTCTACCCGCACTGTCCAACCCCAACGAAAAAAATTCACGTGGAACTATCTGATTGTGAATTTTCCTCGCAATTCTCCCGCGTTTTGACTTTTTCTACGAATAAAATTCGCTTTTGGACAAAACCCAATCGCGTGTTAATTCCCTCTGAACAACCTGCATTTTATCGCGTATTTCAAACACACACAGAACAAACTCTAGATAGGCAAAAACCGATCAAGGGGCCCTCTTTGAAATGTTATCCTTTTCTCTCGTTCAATGTATCTTCACTTACTTGAGATCGCAATCTATCTTTGGTTAGGGTCAATTGGAGATACAACAGTTTCAGTTTGCTTTTCGTAGTAAAATTACGCGGTTTGGTTTTCTCTTTCTTATAGCAACGGCAGTGAGCGAAGTCCCTTCCGCAATCGTTATTTGGTCTCGTCTCGCAACGCGCTCTCTCTCCAACAAGGAATAGATGGCGTTGTGTGACGAGACCAAACAACGGTTGCGATTAGGAGACAACAGTAAGCGTAGCACTGATGTATTTTTATTTTTGCTATTTAGACAACAGTGACAATAGACCACAAAGTACCTGTGCGAGTTTCAAACAAACTAGTTTTTTGCCCTTCTCTTTGGGTGAAACAATGCGAATTTTCGTTCTTTTGAGAGTTATGCTCTTTTTCTGTTACAAAAATGAAAGCATCAGGTGCACAAAGTGTCCCATCTCAACCCACCCAGCCAAAAAAATTAACTCTTACATGCTACGCATGCCTATGTTTTAGTATACTAACTTCTAACCTTCTTCTGTTTAAAAAGATATGACTTGACAGTTCCCCAGTTTCTTCCCATCCATATTTTAATTTTTTTTCATTAATGGTTATTTATTTCCTTTTGTATGAACAATCTAGGTTTTATGTGATAATTTATGTTTCTCAAGGAAAAAACACCCCTTTCATCTTGTAGCACTGTCACCAGTCATTCCGTGCTCACGTTCGTTTCGTACCCAGTTACGTCGATGCGTACCCAGTCAGTTGAGTCGTTTCGGACCCCTATTAACATGGTATGTTTTCCATGTTAAGTATGTTTAAAGTAAGAATAGAATGAACGAATCAACGAGAATAAACGAATTTATTCCTGCTAATAGAAAAGGGAGAGAGAAATCATACTTACACGGGCTGTTGTTGATAAGAAAGTTGCAAGATAGTGAAAATAGGCTGGTCGATGAAAAATATCACACTTTGCGGTTGGCAATAATTTAATGTTTTTGTTAAGAAAGTCACAGATATACACAGCAGAATTTTGCTTGTATTTTACTTTTCTGACTCTACTAACTTGTCGTAAACAATAATCAACATCCGGTTACGCGCTCCCACGCGAGGTATTTCAAATGAATGAATATTGGGATGGTACGAGTCGACCAGCAGCTTGGGTACGAATCAGCACAAACTGGGCACAAACCATCTGAATAGGCTAATTTCGAATTGTTTGTGCGAGAAAGTCTGTTAAATAGTTTTAGCATTAAGCCGAGGCTGAGGGGAATAGGAGACGTCTTAAAATGGCAGCGAATGATGCCTTCTTCACAAATATGAAGGTTCCATAGCTACGGAGTTTGTAAAGGAAAGGGACATTCAAATTTTTAATTCTAGGATGTGTCTTCACGATTTGTTTAGTCTCGAAGTGTTCGGAGCATATATGCAAGTTTTGATGGACGTTAACTCCTTATTAGCGTGACGACAGAAGACACTCCACTTCTTTCTTAGTCTCTCTTAGCCCGGAAACTGGAAAAGTTGAGGTGCGGCCTTTTTTAAGAGTTATTTTTGCACACAGAGATGGCACAAAACTCCATATTCGACTGACAGTCACTCCGATCTTGATTTCAAAATAAGCGTGTATTCCTCTCAGCCTCGGCTTGGTGCTGATAATTAGTTACCGAAACTAGCCGATTTTGGTACGAAACGATTGGGTACTGAACGACTCGTTTCGAGGAGTTCCACATTATCTTACGTCTATTGTTTTTAACCACACAAGCCCAAACCGGGGGAAGTTCTTTATGCTGATTTGGGTGAATTCCATCATATGAAGAAAATGCCTGAAATATCCACCTCCCCCAAAACCCTGCCTCCGATCAAACGGCCGGACCCTTATGCTGAGACACAGTATGCTGACATCACCCAGTTTCTAAAGGGAAACCCTGGAGACGCTGGTGCTGAGCCTCCCAAAGACAGTACCACCACAGCTGTTGGCAAGGAGGAATCCTTAGCTGGGAACACAGGTGATGGTGCAGAAGGAACTAACGAGACAGGATTTTAGTTTTAACTGAGGTCGTAAAACGTTGGAAGAGTTGCAGATCTTTTCGTGAGATAATGGTGATCGTAGCCTTAGTGGTCAATTCTCTTGTTTTGTAGTTAGTTTTTGTCTCACATGCATAAAAATTTTGTTATTATGTAGAATAGATTTTGCTTGATGTATTTTTATAAGACCGCAAGAGTAATTGTTGAGAAACACGTATGCATGCTATTTGTTGCTTCGTAAAATCAAGCACATCCATATTTTTTCCCATATAGTTTTACCTTATTGTTTTTGGTTTTGGCTAATCATTTACTTATATTTTTTTGTAATTTAAGATGAGAACTTCAGTAATTGTCTTGCTTATAATCTGTTTCGTAACATAGTTTATACATAGATGAATAAATATACCAATATAACGGAAAGCTAGCATTTTCTCGAAAAAACCTCTCATCTAGCACAACTTGCAGCTCAATTGTAGATATTTTTCCTTAAGTTCTCGTAAATATAATCAATTCACTTCGTAACGACCATAATGCTTGACGAGGTGTATATTTTGATTTTGTTAGGAAAACATTTTAACATGCGTAGTCGAAAATTGGAAGGTGAAGATTTGGTTATTATAGGGCACATGCCAATATAAATCGAATTTGTTTAAGAAAATAGACAGTTTTGGTAACGTCAATCGTTACCAATTTCTAAGACTTTTTTCGCAATGTTGAACGAATTTTTAGATGCTTTTCTTAATCCCGGTTTTTTCTTCGCCATGTGACTGTTGTGGGGCAGTCTGTATATCGTGGCATCTACTTCGTTGAGCTGAAATGCGATCAGATTAAAGGATCATATGCACACCAGCTCTTTATGATCACAGCTCAGCTGTGAATGCATATGTGTTTTGTCAACTACAAATAATTAGCAGACGTAAAACGTCATTGGTAGCTAGAGTTGATTTTTTTAAAATAGAAAGTAAGTTGGTTTCGCGGGTAAAATAGCTGTTTAATTAGTTCTGACAAGGCACAATCTTCGTTGTTCTTTCGGGATCAAAATGCCTTTTGCCTTGTTTTCGTTTTTGACATTGATAATTAGTCAGAAAGGTTAAAAGTACTGTTTTTTTCTGCCCTGCACCGCAGTGTGGGATTATTTAACCTTATCTCGTATTTAACATGTAATTTAGTAATAGACATTGACAATAAGTGGCAGACACGTATGAAAGACCTTCTCCTGAGTAAGGACTAGAAAGTCACCTGTTACTTTGCCAGTGTGCAAATACAGATGTTGAGTAATCACTAGCTAGTCAAATGTGCGGATGATTTTGGTTTCATAACGAGAACTACTTGGTTCCTCTGCCGGGTAAAGCGGGCTGCCACACTGTCTAGTGTCATCTTATTCATTTTTTCCAGCATAATGCTTTTTCGTAGTCTGATTGATACGATGCTTATTGATTCGCAATGAATACCACATGTTACTATAAATTATGTGGTCTTATTAACGAGTGTTGATTTTTATATTATAATCACGTTTTTTTGAGAAGCCGAGAGAGCTCAGATGTGTGGTATATGTGCCCACAGAACTGACACCATCCATAACACCGTTTTGGTAATGAACAGATACTGTTCACAAACCTTCAGCGGTTTTCCAATGGCGAAAACCAGTAGACTTAATTCATCGAAAGTCCCTAATGTGAACACACCTGCAGAGTGTAATAGAACACTCATGGCGACAGGTGAACAATGGTTTTTGATGCAAATTGGTTTTTCCAATCTCTCTGTGCCACTTGTACCATACATTTGTTTTTCTTTTGGTGACTCTGATACTTTTTACTATATCAACATATGTAACCAACTGTAATACTCATTAAAAGCTTATAAATGTTACATGCATCATTGTTTAATCCAAGTTGTCAACATCAAAGTGGACATTTCTAAGCACCTTCACGATATGCAATGAAAGGAATGGGTCGGTGCCCCAGACCATTCTTCAACCTTCGGGTATTTTTGAAGGAGAGGGGGGGGATGGCATCGTCTGTCAATCAGCATAATACACTCGATATCGGTCTTTCCCTAAAGTTACTTTCAATAAAATATATATATGGGTGGTTCCTTCCGGAAAAATCGTCTTACGCGCGCAACTTTTAGAGAAACCATTGAAAATTATATATCACTATAAAGCTTTTAAAATATAGAGAATAAAGAATTTTCAAAGTTTTTGCTCAGGTAAACGCGCCCGAGCTTTTAACTCTTTATACCCTAACATCAGTATCCATATTCCCTATACTCTTCTCTACATGTTTCTTTTTGGTGTTGACAAAGAGAATTCATTTGAAGATCAAAGCTTCTTAGGTTGGCAAGCATTAAATTAATCTCATGATCTTAGTGAATGATTTAGCAGTGTTACTGTTTCTGTAGGGAGAAATTTAATGCTGGTCACTCTTAGTTAAACTCAAAACTGATACTATCAACGTTACTTAATTACCAGCCTCCGCGTTACCGCGGTCCTCAGAACAAACTAGACAGTATTACTTAGCAGATAACAGGCTGGCAAAGTGTGTGAGGCTTTTTCGATATTCCCAGGAATAAAGGGGGTAAGTTTCCAAAAAATCTGTGGTGCTGCGTCAAATCGGCACCGGCTTAATCTTCGCTTTTCATTTAACTAATTTATTCTTGTTTTCTCGTCATCGTCAATGCGGTGGTCATACCGCTGACTAATAAAATGCAACACCGAACACCCTGGTAAGTCTTGTGACAAAGAACTCCTTTCTATTCCGCGGGAAAGGTCATTCCGTGAAACGAGGGTAGCAAATTAAACAAAATCTAAAATTCATCGGGAAAAGCAGGAGAACAGCAAAGTTGGCAAAGTAAGCTAAGGAAAAAAAAACTCAACTACGATTTCTTTGGCTCAGGCACCCTTGCGACTTTTCTCTTTTTGACCGTTTGATGAAGACCCTCACTTCTCAATGTTTTGCGAAATGTGGTGGAAATTCCATTTTGCTGTGTCGTGCAAAACGCGATGTAAACAAAATATGCAAATAGAGATCGAGACGAAAGCCTGCGATAAACTTAAACACTCGGGTGGAAGCCTTTTCGATTGACACCTTTCGTACCTCAGTACAGGATCCAATGAATCATTCTTTTACTCGTATCTCGTGTTCTTGTTAAGATTTTGCTTTTTTTCCCGGCAAATTAAACAAACTAACTTCTCTGACTAGAGAGCAAAAAGACGAAAATTTGAAATTTTGACCAGATTTTGTTGACAGTAAACTTAATCAACTAAAGCTTTAGGCGTCCACTCGCAAACCCTATTGGCATACTCTGCCCAGAGTGATCCACCGATTGTGCCGAATGACACCGCTTGTACAAGATTCGAAGTGTCGAAAAAGAGAACGGAAAATATTAATTGGACGGGAGTGTTTACAGTGGAAACTAAAACACTTTCCGAATAAATACGATCACTGCACCAAGGAGTCATCTTGGAACCAAAGTGGTCGTATTTAGCAACGACGCCACGATTCCCACCTTTCAAACTTTGCTGAATGAACTTGGTTTGTTTGTTGCTTGAAATAGTGGCTGCTGCAAGATTTTTTGTGGTAAGGACAGTGAAGCGACCAAGATGTAAATGCCTGATCCAAGCAACAAGAAAGCGAAAACACCTGGAAGAAAACCCTGTATGGTCTAAAGATTTTCAAAGAATTCCTCGAAAGAATGATATATCCCTCGTTCGCTGCCCTCAATCGTGAGATATTGTTCTTGCCACTCGAACATAAAATTTCATATCTTCTTCGCCACAGTGGAAAATTCTCTAGTTATGACCCATGAGGCCTTGCGCGCGCTTTTATTAAAAAAAGAAAATCCCCTATTAGGACTGTAAGCGATCAGGCTGGTACGCAATAGTGTGAACAGCAGCTGGGCCGTAATAAGCCGTACTGCGCGCGGCGAGGTGTGAGCTGGACGAAGGAAGGACGAAAAAAGGAAGAGCGACGGTCAAATGATAAAATCCTTTTTGACTATGTTAGGTCGGGCTTGGTCATGACGAGTGAACCTTGCTAGGCTCTGTCCGGTCCTTCAGCCAAGCAAGTAATTTCCGTCCGTCCCTCCGGTAAGTTATTACAGGAGCCCATCTACATGGGCTCCTGGTTATCAACAGCATATTACATGGATGTCCTTCGGGAAAAAATTCGTACGCGCGCTAGTTTCACTAAAATCCTAGTAAACTATAAATCAGCAGAAGAAAGCTTAATAAATGAAGTTTAAAATAAAAATGTAATTAAAGTGGGTTTTCCTTTTAGGAAGTGTCAGGAGCCGGTAAGACGTGAAACGACCGAGGGTTCTTCTATTGAATTTATCGGGTATCAGATGCCGTAGCACAAGCAAAATGGCTGCACAGTCTTATTCACAAGGCATAAATCAACTAGGAGTGTCAGGCTTTTTCGATACTCTGATCATGATTGGTTATCTAAAGTTGAAGCAGTTAGACTTATGCGAGGCGTGTTGCGTAAATGGACGCCACAGGACGAATACTTCAACTATCAAAATTTTCCAACATGCTTTCATTTAACATTATTCTTGGAATGATCTGGCGAAATTTGACAAAAATCGGACAAATATGAATACCCTATGAATTCGCTTAAAGTGGATGTATTCCTGCCAAAATCAAATGCGAGACGTCCGTAAACAAATCTCGCCACGCCAGGAGGTTATCTCGCGTCCTGAAACTGCAAGCCAATGGGACAACGGGACCTCCTGGCGTCAATGACGTTGGATCAAGATTTCCCGGGAAAAGTAACCCGTTGCGACCACGTTGCTTTTATTTCAATCGCTTGGTGGGGCGTTGAGGAGGACAACACAAAAATGGGCAAAAAGCCAAAGGCAAAGAAAGATACTGCAGCAAAAATGAAAAAACCGGAAAATGTGCTGAGAGGAAAGACAACGAATCCACAGACAGCTTTCAAACTCACGATTCCAGGCGATTGTTCATGTTTTTGTATCATGGCTGATACTTGCACAAATAAAAGGAAACGTCGGTTTTAACTTAATGTATGACTAATTTCGATATGACGGCGATGTCTTTGTTTGAAATCTGAACGCCAGCGTGGGGCTCGCTTTCACAGAGTGGTACTCTTTCTTTCTCTTTTTTCAACAGACTTTCTTTTGCTTTTTATTTTTCCATGAGCAAAGATTTTTCCAGAAGCAAAGAGCTTTCACGCGTGAATTTTGTCAAGTGCGCAATGTAAACAAAATTTGCAAACGACATGAAAAACGTGCCCCAAGATGAGCGTTGCCGCGAAAATTTCCCCCTGGGATTCGCCCAGGTGCGAGATTATATGACACCTTCCTGATTTATTAACTTTTACTTGAAAATACGTTTTTCTAAATAACTCGGGTACTTTTGGAGATTTTAATTAGGTTAGGTTAAAGTTTTTGGCTTCCGTAAATAAAAGGAAAAATGAATTTTTCGGCCTCTTAAGGTGGGAGGTAACCTTAACTAATAAATACTTGAAAAGGAGAATTTTGAATTGTTTGGCGCTGCACTTTTACTTTATCGTGTGGTAGCGTCACAAGGTTTTTTTTTCCAAAGAAGGAAAAAAAAAGCTTTTCACAATCACCGTGGATGAAGGTCGCCAATAAAATGTTTCCCTTTAGTCGCCCGGACCTACATGTTCTTAAAATAATGCAGAACTCCTGACTCTGTTTGTAGAGAGTACATGCCGAACTTAAAAACACTCTATCCAGCTTCTTACCTTGAAAATGAAGGCCTATTCAATTGATCCAAGATCAGTCACCGATGAGACAATAATACATACATCTCGAAACTGTTACTTCAAGCAAGGGAGGTGGAATGCTTAACAATGACTTATACTCTTCAGCAAGCAATGATTTAAAGCGAAACTTCAAGAGATGATACATCGCAACTGCAAACCATATAAGGAAATCTGAACAGGTCTCTCCGGAAACGGACATTTCCTTTTCTTTAAAGGGGGTAAGTTTCTAAAGAAACTGTGGTGCTGTGTTGGTGGGAGAGTATAACAGGTAATTTAGTGTTAACAACTGAGTTGAAAACGTAAATTGGCCTCTGTAAAGAATTTAAAGGCATGTTTTTAGTCTTTTCTTTGCTTCTTGTTTCTTCAAGTTCACAGTTTCAACATCTCTAAAAAAGTTGTCACAGGGGCTGCTCCAGTTCTTTAACCGATTCCCACCAACACAATCACAGGTTTTCGCGTTTTATATATCTGCCGTCCAGAGTCTCGCTATCTGTCCCCCACATTCCAAAATTAACAAGATATGAAAATTCCTAACTTAATTCCTTGAGTTTGTAATCAGTCATAGCTATGAGCTTCATCTTGGAAAATGTGTATGAAATAGACGATTGCTGAAATAACATATATACCAATGAACTACCAGAAGTTTACTTGGCACGCACTTGATTATTTTCATATTTTCCATTTGTTCATTTCCTGTCTTCTATCATTAATTAAAATTTTTCTTAATCAATTTGCATTGGTGTTTTTGTTTGGCTGCTATTTTGTTTTACTGTTAGTGAGCGTAGAAATTTGCTGCGAGAAGACTAGGCACTAGAATATACGGCGGGAAACTGTGCGCGAGGCATATACAAAGTATTATTGCGGATGGCGATGATGGTGGCGGCTGGGAAAGAGAACTCTGCGATTAGATCTCTCCAAAGCAATTACGATGGTTCTTATTTCCTTCGACTGAGAAGAGGGTGTGTTTGCCTCCAAAAAATAATGATCAAAAGAAGACGCGAGAATGAAATTTTTCTTCTCCCAATGGACTGTTTATATTTGAGTGTTGCTCTCTGGAAGAAACAGCGATCACAAGTGATTGTTAAGCACAATAGCAGAGGTGTCGCCTTAAAGGTTTGTTAGTATTATAGTTTTACGCCACATCATTAATTTTAATATTCTAGTATTCAATGTTTTCAGTTTGTTGCAAGGGAATATTAGGGGGCTTAATGGTCACAAAAAAATCGCGAGGGTTTCTAGATAGTCCAAAGATTCAACTCCTTGAGAGATCCCCAGTCTTTAGTGTGAGGAACTTTTGAGGTACCTCTGAATGAGAATCTAACATTTATGCAAGAAGTGATGGATACATTTTGGAGTTTCTCCAATTGGTGGTTTGTTCTCGTGGCTATCTTGCCGAGAAGAAGTCTACTTGTCGGTACGGTCTTATCTAGCACACCAAGGGTTAAGCTTTTTCTTGGTGAATTGCTTTGTTTTTGTCCCTAATTGAAAGGAAATAAACATCAAGCGCCCTTGTTGTTCATTATCAAATACACTGAGGCTAAAAATTGCAATTCTTGATTTTATTCTAAACATATTTTAATCGCTCTTTCACAGAACATGTGTATATATTCTTGTTCACAGAGGCTGCCGGCGATGTCACCATTACTGTAGAAGTGGACAATCCTTTCAAAGTTCTTGAAAACACTCCCATAGTATATCTTCGCTGGAACTTTTCAATTTCTGGTAGTGACCCATTAAAAGAAGTTGATTTCTTTATCAGTAAAGAAGGTGCTGACGAGTACATCGGGTATCTAACCGACACTAAGATCAAAATCTCATCTAGTTTTTCTTCACGGGATCGTTTTACGATCGAGCGCCCAGCTACTTTAATAATCCGCAACGTATCTGCTTCCGATGCTGCGAAGTATATGTTTGCAGTTGAGCTGGACTCAGCGGAAAGAACGCAAAGTATAATCGACCTGCACGTTCTTGGTAAGTCAGTGCAATTATACAATCATTACATGTTGTGCGCTTAATCTTCCAGCTCGGACTTTGGCGAAGCCGATTTGTCTGAATAATTTTGTGAATTGTAAGTGAGAAGAGAGGATACAAACTCGGTTTCAAAATCCATGGAGAATATTGCACTACCTGGACAACGATTATTGTTAGGAATTTGTATTGATGATGGATACTTTATCCATGAATAGATTGTTGCTGACTGAATTTCGTTGAAAACCAATTAACAAGGATCAAAGCAATTAACATTTTAAACTACGGTTATCTTTTTATATGGCTTCAGCAAATGTTCACTGCTACAATGTAGCTCAAATGCAGCTCTATTGCCTTGTTTTAGTTCATCAGAGTTTGACATTATGAATTTTGGGGATCACTCTAGCCCAGTGAACTATGTTATGTAATAGGATTAACATTTGAAACAAGCATGTCAAAACTTTTTTGAACTCGTGGGTAAAATATTATTTTTAGCATGAAGCAAGTTATGTAATGAGTGTATAACCTTTCTGTTGACCTATAACGGCCAAATCCATGTAAAAATATGAACAAGAATGAGGTAAATTTCTATCAATGATAGCAGACATTTACCTTGATGCCTATTTTTACTGTGGATCCACAGTAGAAATGTTTTGAAACTCACACTGACAGTTGAGATTGGGATAGGGATTGACAAACCAAAGACCTAGCACTGGTTGTTTAAAAGGTGGATAAATCCCTATCCACTGGAAAGTAATTTATCCGTTAGATAAGGTTATCTGTCCTTTGAATGACTAAGCCACGGCTTGCTCTGTATCATAGTTGCCACAGAGCAGGGAAAATTAACTGAGTCACTCAAGGTTTATAAAGGGAACCTGTGTCACCCATGGTTTAACTGGTATATCTAGCCACAAAAGTTTCTTAAGTGAAGTGCAGGTAGGCAGATTTTAAGTCAAGTTAAGACATATATGTGCTGTAAAAGTGTGTATTTTTCCACTATGATACATTATGAAATGAAATCAACTGGTTTTTTCTGAGACATTGTTTTAGAAACATTCTCTTGACTTGAAGTTTGTTTGGATATAATCAAATATTTAATTAATGTTATTTTTCAATGTTAGCACCCGTCAAGTTAATCGGTGCACCAAGTAACCAGACCATCAATGAAACAGACACAGTAACATTTGTCTGTAATATTAGTGGTAATCCAGCCCCTGTAATCAAGTGGTATAAGGATGAACTCACTGTTGGTACAGGAGACACACTCAGCTTTCCAGTATTCAGGAATCAATCAGGATACTACTGGTGCTCAGCTGATAATGGCTTAAATGTGACTGTCAATGCCAGCGCTTACCTTAATGAGCATTGTGAGTATAAAATCGATTCAAAAGAATTTTTGAAATGATACAAATGTAAATGCTAAACATTCCAGGGACAATCATTGAATACTAATGGTCTATGATAGATTTTGTTTATTTGTCAAAACGATAGCTTAAATATCACAATGTACCCCAGAGCTGCTATTATTTCAGTATATGTGGTGTTGATTGTAAAATGTTGATTGTGAAAAGGTCCCAAGTTGATCATCTATTGGTAACTTGCCAAGAATTTATTTTGCTGACCTTTTGTTATATAATGTTATTTTAATAGCTGTAAAAATATATTCCATTGTCCATGTTATTTAAGTTAGGTTGAGTCAATAATTGTTGTAAGTCTAGTGATTAAAGTTTATTTCACACTTCATTGCTCAAGCACAAGAGCTTACCCAAGTTATTTCAAAACATTATTCATGATGATACAAAGCAGAGGCCAGGAACACAGCGGCCAAATGTCTACTCTTGAGGGAACATTGTAATGACTAGGCTACATGCTTTCAGGCTGTCAGAGCCAAGTTATCTCACACTAGTTATAAAAAAAACCACTTAACCCTGTGAAGTTACAGTGTTTTAAAAGCATACAACTTTTTTTCGGTAAAGCTCAAAAGGAATGTTAAATCATCAGGATCGATACCCATACTTAAATTTTCTGAGGAAAAAGTACTAAGTACTGTCAACTGAGTTGATAATGGAAATTGGCAACTGTGTAGAGTTTGAAAGCTGATGTTTCGAGCATTACCCTTAGTCAGAGGGAAGGGCTAATGCTCAGCTTTCAAACTCTTCATGGTGGCCAATTTACATTATCAACTCAGTTGATAACACTAATTCACCTTGCTATACATGTTCTCTCCCACTGACACCACCACAGTTTCTTTAAAAACTTACTCCCTTTATTCATTTGTGTCCCAAAAGTCTGATATTTTTTGTGGATAGCACACCACTGGAAGTTATTCACAAGCAGTAACCTTGGTCTTTTGAATAAAAATTTCAGTTAAAACTTTGCACAATAATTTTTCCAATTCATCAGCCAGTGTTAAGAAAAGTAGAGTCGGCAAAGCTATCAACCAATTGTTGTCATCTGGATATTAACTCAAGATTCTCTTAAAATTAGTGAACATGGAAATTGTTTCTAATTAGCCTGAGGTGTAATTACCTGCTGGATCATAGGAGGTTGAAGGGTTTAATAACTAGGACCATGCTTCCTTTACCTGCCATGGCCGATAGGAAATAAAATGGGAAAAAAGTGGTTCTTAAATGTTATGATGCTATCTCAACCTCATTTGGCAAATTGCTGGGTACTAATACATCACTTATGAAAAAAGTTTGATGAGTTCAATGGTAAGAAGACCAGTGAAACAACCCTTTCAGTTCCTTTTTTTTTTTCCTTTTTCACAGACAAGCCAACTGGAACAAGTATTACATCCAGCCCAACCAATAATACTGTGTTACGTAACAGTAGCTTGGTGTTAAGCTGCAGAACAGATGCCAACCCTGCAGCACATATTTATAAGTTTTATTTTAATGGTACCTTTATTGGTGTGAACAACTTGGGTAGGTATCATGTCATAGTTCAAGCAGATGGAGAGTACACTTGTGTACCTTTAAACACAGTTGGCACAGGTGACAATGCCACCCTTGCTGTCATAGCAGTCGGTAAGTAATAACAGTTTACAATAAACTTGTTTTTGTTTTTTAACTACCCAAAACTAAATAAAATTAATATGAAATTTAACAGGTATCAATTATGGCAAAATACTGATTGAATAAATTGATCTTGTATTTTTAACCGAAATTAGCCTTTATGCACATTAAAGGTAGCACGAACATGATTGAAAACCACTTTTTCCTTTAGATATACCTCCATACTCTTATATGGTTGTTTTTGATCAGAAGGAGCACTTAATGTACTATTAATAATGTCATGTGCTTTGCAAAGCAAGATCTAAAAAGCTTAGGGAGACCCCCTTTTTTACTTTTAAAATCAATTCCATGGAAGCAAGATACTATTTTAGCCACAGAAATAATAACAACTGTTGTGTTACACGTAAGTATCAATCCAGCAATACTACATTTATAGCATATAGAAGTGTGCTTAAAAAAACTTATCATTATTTTGCCCATAATCTGTTTCAGATGCACCTTTAGTAGATGTTTTCCCCACTATGACCTCTGTCCAAGAAGGAAACAATATCACATTGTCGTGTAATGCATCTGGGAAACCAGCACCTGTTATAGCATGGACAAAAGCTGGCTCATCACAAGTTCTCTCTCACACTTCTTTGCTGTCAGTTGTCAATGTAAGCAGATCTGGGACAGCAGACAACACGATCCAGTATCAATGTAAAGCCAGTAATGGAGTGGAGACACCTGCTACAGTTACAGTCAATGTCACTGTTCACTGTGAGTTGCAGTCAGAATTTCTCTCACCCATGGAATTTATTCTATTTTTTCATGAAATGGCTGTCATATTAAAAGTAGATCTAGCCATTTGACAGTTTGATAGTGCAGCACATATCCACTTTTCAGTGGGAATACTGTATGGATACTCTAGCACAGAAGGATAGCAGAGTTACATTATTGTAGAACTTAATAAGCCAGGTTGATAATAAGGCCAGAGGAATGGAAGCCAGGCATACAGTGTTAATCCATCCACAAAACCAACTTCTCAAATACCTATTCAAGGAAAGCCACCTGGTGGAGTGTTCACTGCTGAGCATGATATGATCACACAAGCTGTTGCATTTTGTAGTCTAAGAAGTTGTTTATCTATTATTTCAAGGAAACCTAGCAAACAAGACTTCAAGTAAATACACAGCTTTGACTTATTTTTGTCGATGAATTTTGAATGCAACTATTATTATAACTTATTATATTGAGTAATGATCAATTAAAAGCAGCCTTTGTAGTACAGCTGTAACTTATTACTGAATGAGTGTACTGTGAGCAGTTAAAGGAGTGGTATAATTTTCAATTCTAAAGATTCTCAATGGGGTTATTGCAGGGTACCTGTACATGTTGTAAGTAGTGAGATGCACATTGGACTTGATTCAAACATTTTGTTCCTGTGATCTTGGTGTAATTTTTTTGTTCCCATAATCATGGTGTTGCTTGTTTTATTTCTACAGTCCCCCCTGATATTGACCATGCCCCATCAGCTTATCAAGTTGTAGAAGGAAGTGGGTTGATCCTGTTCTGTAATGCCACTGGAAATCCAAAGCCCAACATTACTTGGACCAAACAAGGAAACAACAATGAACTGTCAACATCAGAGACTCTTACTTTGTCAAAGCTGACAAGAGAAGATGATGGATCTGTTTTTGAATGTACAGCACAAAACTACATCACTTCAGTGAAAGCTATGGCAGTTCTTACTGTTTGGTGTAAGTATTGGGAGTTTTTTCCTGTCTTCAGCTTACAGTAAAACAGTCAATAACTTTAAAAATATACCCTGCATGTTCCCGTATGCTGTATATGGGGGAATGATGTTCTGTAAAGTAGAATCTTCTCTCAAAGTGCCTTGTCTTTACCCAGGGGTATAAACAGAGGGAGGAGGAGTACTTTAAGTCACTTTGTTACATGTGTGGAACTGGGATGATTTAATTAATAGGTTCATTTAATTCAATCAGCAAAAACTTCATACCTTTACTTTCAAAAGGGTTACTCCAGACTTGATGGCATCTTCTGTGCTCTTCAGAATTGAAGAAAGATAATTTTTGACCTCGGTAAACAAATAGAGAAAGATGTTTTTGTCTTGTAACTATCGTGGGACAAAGAAAAAATCCTCAGTCCCTTTGGGGAATGGAACCTCAGACCTTTGTATTCCATGCTCCAATGCTCTACCACTTCTTTCCTGTGCACATGAAAATTGTACATGTGCGTCTGATGACCCTGCACCTGAGCATATAAAATTAATCTGTGCAGTAACATACATCTAAGTATTACTGTTCTAAAATAACTATAATGTTAATGTAATTGGCAAATTTTCAGTTTGAATTGATTGTTTCCAACAGGCAATGGGTAGTATTGATATTTCCATACAGCTGGGTTCTACTAAAAAGGTCTTAATAGTAAAAGCTATTCCTGTGGAAAATTCAGTTGGGCTTTAATTGATATCTTAAAATGTGCATTATTTAGTCAGTATTAATTTTTTAAGGACATGGTCACCAACATGAGATTGATGTCATCAAGACGTGCCCAATGTCGTAGGACTGAAAAAGAAAGATAACTGTGCAATTAGAGGACATTGTTAAGAAATTTTCAGTTGTATCCAAAGAGGCATGCAGGTTGTATTCTGAAGCACTACTCTGATCTCTTATCAATCATTTGAAAATATTATTTACAGATCAACCGAGTGTAACATCACAGCAGTGTCCCAGTCCCATAACTGAGGGTGACAATGTGACACTTCATTGCAGTGCCATTGGTAACCCTGTGCCCAATATTGCATGGATCAGAGCAAGATCAAGGACAATACTGACATACAACAAGACTCTGGTTTCTAGGAGTATCACGCGCAGTGAGTCTGGCAGATATGAGTGCCTTGCTTGGAATGGAATTGGAAACAACAGCACCAACTCTTGTTCAATTGATGTACATTGTAAGTGCATGTAGGATACCTTACTTTACAAGTGTAAGATTTATGTAAAATGCTAGGAATTTCAGTTCATATGTAAGATCATATTCTTTGAGATTATTTAAATTCAAAGTAATAATTAGTTAAAGGAATATTATTTCTTGATAGAAGATTTGTACCATAAAACGTTTCTTTAATTAGCTTTCAAAAATTTCAGTGGTCATTCACAATTGTTTCCTCTGGTCAACTACAACATTACTTACAATAATAATTCTTTACAGGTATTCACACTGTTTCTGCTTTGGTTTATACTTTAGAGTATTTACCTACCCCTACCTACTAAATCTTGACTGAACATTTCATTCTCCATTTGACTGTTTTTACTCACCAACAAAAATACACTGTAGAACCCTTTGTGATTCTTTCTTGGGAAGCATGTAAGTCTATGGCAAAATATACTTGAATTTTATTTTCATAGATTTACCAAAGGCCTTAGCTCTGTTGACTACTCCAATTAATACTACAGTGCTTGGTGATACTGCTATGAAGCTTAACTGTAGTACAGATGTCAACCCTGATGCTCATACTCATCACTTTTACTTTAATGGCAACCTTACTGGTAACAGTAGCTCTGGTGTGTTTAACATCAGTGTGAAGGAAGATGGAGAGTACACCTGTGTTCCTGTTAACAAAGTAGGCACAGGAAGCAATGCTAGTGTCAGCATCACTGCCGTTGGTGAGTGTTGAGTCAGATTGCAGGTTGAAATAAGTGATATTCAAGTCCAAATCAATGGTTGTCAATATATTTGATTGCATTCTAAGGTACTTTGCACTTTGTTTTTTCTTTCCACTGAGATTGAAGGAATACTCCTTTCAAGTTACATGTGATTGGTGAAATGTTTCAGGCAAATTTATTCTAAACCAGGTTGGATTTTTCTCAAGATACAAACATTTAGTCAAGAAACTTTTGAAATATTTCTGAATCCATAATAATTGCACCCATTATATTGCACCCTTAAAAGTTGCTAAAAAACAATTCATCAAATCATCAAAAGTGGCAAACATTTCTAAAACTTCCAGATCAGAAAGTGTTTTTCTTTTTTTTATCCATTATTTTACAATGGTATAAAATTATTTCATTCTCTCTGTTATAAATTTAGTGGCTCCATCAGTGGATTTGTCAAGTTCCATAATAGTTATTAAAGAAGGCAATAACATTTCATTGAGCTGTAATGTATCTGGTAAACCTGAACCCAGCATATCATGGACAAGAATTGGTAGTTCAGATGTTCTCTCCGTTTCATCATCACTAACTGTTGTGAATGTGAGCAGGCCTGGGACGGCAGACAACATGATCCAGTATCAATGTACAGCTAGTAATGGAGTGGAGACACCTGCTACAGCTACAGTCAATGTTACTGTAGAATGTAAGTGAAAATTGCAATGAAGAGGGAAGTTTGTAGATTTGAAAAGAAAAATGTGGCTACAAATGTCTATTTGATTTCTTTGCAAGACATCTGATTTAGAATGTATGAGATGTGCACGGTATATTTGGAATCCCAAGGCAATAGTTATTTCTAAACACTCCAAGATACTTTACAGTTATATTTACTTACAGGGGTGGCTCTTGGGGAGGGGTATTATAGGATGTGCACCCCTTCCCCTCGAGATGACCTGTGGTTTTCTTTTATAACAAGGAGGGAAAAAAAGGAAAGAAAAAATGTGGTTTGTTGCCATTAAATTAAAACATGAGACAAGCTTTAAGAATTTGTGTAAAATGCAAGGAAAATAGTAGTTTGGCCCTGAAGTTTGAGCTTTAGCCCTTCCTTTTTGCCATAGTAGACATCAGTTCTGTCATTTCTAAGTGGTGCCCCCTCTCCTAAGAAATGTCCTTGCTCTGCCTCTGACTTAATTTTGGAAATAAATGCATCTACAAAGAAGAGGTATGAAGAGGGGATGGTTGAAGAAAACAAATTTGCTGTGAAATTCTGCCCTCTTTGAGTCACTGAACACGTGAAATGCTGTATAAAGGAAAATAATATACTCTCTTGATGATATTTTGGGTGTAAGGTAAGTGTGAGTTCTTACAGGTTGCTTTGCAAAATAAAACATATGATGTTCTAGCAATCATGCATGAAACAAATCTCAAATAGTCTCCATGATATTTGTCTCTACAGTCCCCCCTGATATTGACCATGCCCCATCAGCTTATCAAGTTGTAGAAGGAAGTGGGTTGATCCTGTTCTGTAATGCCACTGGAAATCCAAAGCCCAACATTACTTGGACCAAACAAGGAAACAACAGTGAACTGTCCACATCAGAGAGACTTACCATAACAAATGTTTTGAGAGAAGATGACCAGTCTGTTTACAAATGCGTAGCAGCAAATTCATTGGGATTAACACAAGTTACTCCCAAAGTCACTGTCCTCTGTAAGTTTTATATGGTGCTAATGTGCTGAACATACATTTGTTTTACTGTAAAGACTTGTTTATAAGCCACACCTTTTTTTTTTAAGTTTTGGGCCAAAAATTGCGGGTGTGGCTTATACAGGAGAGCATTATTTGCCTCTGGTGTCCTGACTTCCCCTGCGTGGTTACCAAGCAAACATTTTGCATTGTTCTCCTGTGCTTTTTTTTTTCTAATTCCATTGTTTTCATTTGAGCCATGGGCTTTAGCAATGAAGACAACTGTTGTCAGTCACAGGGAATAAGAAAAACAATTAAAGAAAAGCTTTTAAAAGGTTTTTTCAGAGTTGGTTAACTTACTAATGATGCTGCAAGTGCACAACATTAGATTTCAAGTCAAGTTTATTGTCAACATTTGGAACAAATGACCAACATTTTTTACAAGAGTGCTTTTTTGGAGGTCTTTTTTTCCCAAAATCATACTTGAAAGTTAGGGGTGCAACTAATACACAAATTTTTACAGTATTCTTGTTTTTACTTGATAATGATTATACAGGCTCGTGCAAACTCCTCTCCATTTTTTCCCTCTCAGTTGAGCCACTTAGATTTTCTGGCTCTTACTTGGTGTAGAAGACACAGTATATGTCACAACAGAATTCATCACAACTGGGAATAAGAAAACCAGGGAAAACAATAGTGTGATGTATACTGTGTCTTCTACACCAAATAGGGGCTGATTTTCTCGAGTGTTTTGTAGTGTTCTGATAATAATTATGTCATGGTATAACAAGGCCAGTTACCAGTGGGTACATATGCTTATTATTAATTAAAGTAACTCTAAAGAATAGATTGAATGATCCATGATGATATCATCACTCACTGACTTGTCCAAGCAACAGTACAAATATGAAACCAAGAGATAGAGAATATTTTTTGTTTGCATGAATTCTTTATTTAAAGCTAATTTAAGGATTTTTATTGCCATTGTTTTTCTTATAGTGATAGTGATGCTGAGGTAATACTACTCTGTAATATATAGATAAACATGTCTTTGCAGATCCACCACAGCCTTTTATACAACATTGCCCCAGTCCAGTTACTGAAGGAGATAATGTGACATTATACTGCAATGGAACTGGTAATCCATCACCTCAAATAGCCTGGATAAAGTCTGGAAAGGTTCTGGTGACAGACAGTGTTTATGTTATAAGAGAAATTGACAGAGGTCAGGCTGGAATATACCAGTGTGTGGTTTGGAATGGAATCATGAGAAATGTGACTTCGAACTGTAGCATTGATGTTCACTGTAAGTTAATTGAGTACCTTGAGTTTAATAGCAGAGTCTCTTTCTTTACATATACTTGGCTGAATGTTAACCTTTGCCAGTGTTCAAACACTCATTTTTTATTTGATTTTGCACTGTATGTTAATTGACTACCTTGAATTTAATAGTATAGTCTATTTCTGTTCATATATTTGGCTGAATGTTAAACTTTTGCCAGTGTTCAAACACTCATTTTTTATTTGATTTTGCACTGTAAGTTAATTTACTACCTGGAATATATATGTACAGTGAAACTCTGCCAACTGACATCTGATTTTGATAAGGAAACTCTGGACACTCTTCTTGGTCTAGGGAATGTTTACTTTGCAGGGTATCAACTACAGGTATTAAGACCCCATCTGGGAAATTAAGGTCTCTGATGTCAATAGAGTACTTTCATGCCTTGCCTTATTTATTTATTTACTTACTTGTCTTTGCATTCTAAAGTGTATAACAACCCAATATACTGTAAGTATTATTAATTATTCATGTCACTACTGAGCTCTATTTGTTTGTTATTAATTTTTAAGTGTTTTTTACCTTATTGTTATTTCCACATGTTTTTCATATATATGTACTCTGTTTTTTAAGGCAAATACATGTAAATAGTTGGTTTATTGTTGTTGTTTTGTTTAGCCATTCTTGTACTATACATAATTATGTATAGTCTAAATGTTTGATTTTAGTTTTAATCTGCACAATTATTCTTATTCAGATCCATCTTTGATTGAGTCTGCCCCAGTTAGTCAAGTTGTCTTTGAAGGAAACAACTTGACTTTACATTGCAATGCAAGTGGCAATCCTACACCAAACATCACCTGGACTAAAGAAGACAGTCCATCAGTGCTCTATCAAGGAATTACATACAGCATTGTGGACATAGACAGAAATGCTGCGGGGAATTACACTTGTACAGCTTGGAATGGAGTTGGAGGACAAAAGAAAGCTATTGCTGATCAGTTGCAAGATCCAGGGGTACAAATGCGTAACATTAGGGAAAAACTAGCAACTTCATAAAATTACCAAAAAATCATCAAAACATAGATTATTCATAAACTTTTATTGTAAGAACTACTTTTTGAGAAAATATTTGATGTTATCTGTTAAATTATCCTCATTACTTAATACCCAGAATGCATAGCAGGCGTGGTCATATATTCTATTTACACATTTGCAGGCTTAAATTCACGATTCTGTTTAGAAATAACACAGTTTTATTTACATAACTAAAAAGAAGACATAATTTCCTCATGCTGGTTGGGTAAAAGCTGGAATAATACATTTCTACGCCTATTTAATTTCTTGAGTTCTCCACAGATAGTCCTGACAGTGTTTGCATACACAATAGCTTGTTTATTGTCAAGCTTGTAGGTCATGTCTATAATATTGTCCCTTAGGAAAAAGTTACCCTTGAAGACAAAGGAACCTTTCTGATAAGCAGCACTATAGTCATCAACTTCATCTTCACCCAAAATTATGGCACCACTGCTTGTAACTTTGAAGAGGTAGTAATCATATATGGCGTCATCAGCTGCTGCAATGGCGACAGTACTTCCTTCTTCAACAAGATCAGTGAGTGCATTGACTGTTTTACTGACATTGACTGAGTCTTGATTCTGCCTTGTGACTGCAACATCTCCTTCTCTTGACATCTCAACCTCTCTCCACTTATCAACATACTCCTCATTTTCACAGTCCATGTCAGTTAAACAACCAATGCACATACAGCTTCTTAGCCTTGTCTTCACCTTACATTGCTGAGAAGTTGTTTTTACAGAGTGGATTTTTCTAATCCCTTTTAGCTCTTTAAAAGTGCGGCCAATTCTGTTTCTGTCAACAGCTCCTTCTCCATTTAGTGGAATGTAGAAGTATACTCTCTTGTTTAAGGTGGTTTTGCTGTTGGTTGAAGATGGCAAAGAGAACTTGTCCTTCAGATACTCATAGAGCTCCTTTGCAGACTTGATGGATGCTTCTCTTCGAATCACAGCAAGAGTAGCACGTTGTTTGACATTAGCACCTGCTGCATCTTGCTCTCCTTTTGCATGAGAGGTTTCAAAGAAATGCCGGTCCACCTGACACCCAAAGTCAGACAAAGAACATGACAAATCACCAAAAGTGTGCTTAGATTTGTATTGTCCAGCACACCCATCAGTGAATTCATGAACTTTGTCTACTTTCACTTTGACCTCATTCCTAAGGTACGTCAGTATTAGGCCTTGGGTGTGGTGTACAAAATGGTAGTCTTGAGTGTTGTCTTCTGAAAGGGCAAAGATGTGCTCTTTGATGAGGACAGGGTCTTGTTCTGTACTTGCTTTGCCATCAATGTCAATATCAGCATGGCGATAGACAATTGACACATGAATGCTGACTTTCACAGGATCGAAATACTCTGATTGAATTTCATCTTGTGATCTGCAAGTGTAATTCTCAGAAAAATCATGCACACAGATGATATGGTTGAGAGGCAGGTTTGTCATTAAATGATCAAACTGTTCTTTTTGCCATTTGGCCATAAATGAATGGTAGGGATAATCTTTCAGGAGTTGCTGGAAATAGTCAAACATCTCTTTGACAGGAGTTTCTTTTTGGACCAAGTGGATTTTCCTTTTTCCTCGCCATTGTTATCTTTGTACGTTATGTATTCATATCGTTTCCACTTGACTTCAGTTTCAGACATTTCTTCAGCTGCTGTCTTGAAGTTCTTCACCCCACACTTGTCACAGCTCCTTGTCAGGCAGTCTAGAGAGGAATAGCTGGAGTCTTCTGGCTTTTCACACAATGTGGATTCCACAGCTTCAGTGAGAAAATTAAAGGCTTGAACTTCATTATTTTGTATGGATTTTCGATATTTCATGCAAGAATCAAATACAATTTTGCATTCTACATGCTTCCTACTCAAGCAAGATTGTCTATCTCTCTCTCTAGCTCCAGTAACAAAGAAAGGCTTCAACTGCTCAAATCTTCGTTGTTTCACTTTTATGTCGGGATGTAGCTCCTGGAATTCTTTGAAACACTCTGTTTGAGTCTTTTCAAGGATATGCTTTGCGTGCTCCACATACTCCTTTTTGCCAATTCGTTGCCGCATCTTGTCTCTTTTGGATCCAGTGGGTCGACTTGCTTGTAGGGTCCAAAAATCGTAGATAACACGCTTATCTTCTTCTTTAATCGCGTCACACCTGACATTTCTGTTTGTGCTCAACCAGCAGGCCTCATCACCCTTCAAAACTCTTTCTCTATGTTTGATAGCTTTGGACACCTGGCTTCTTTTTACTCCCATCATCTTGGCAATCCGTGTTTGGTGCTTGTTTTTTTTTTGACAGAAGATCCAAAAGCCAAAGAGCGCGTACAGTTATAAGCTGCTCTTTCATCAGTCGACTTAGCTTTTTGACTTTGGACAATCCTTCTGCCAAATCTTCTACCAAACACTCCATTGCTTCGATATTTTGTTGCTCCTCAACTGGTCTCACGAACTTCTTTTTTCAAGAATCTTCCTTGTGCGAGGAGTACTTGCAAGGTTTTGAAGAATTTCAGCCTTTTTGCGGGGTTTGAGGTAAGGCAGGGGACACCTTGTCCTTTGCACGTTTTTTTTTTTTTTCCTTGAACTAAAAGCTGGTGTGGTGATGTTGACTTCAGGTTTCGGTTGCGCAAATGATGACTCTTTTCTATTCTGACGAAGTTTTCGAACCCTTTCTCGAGTTTGCTGTCGCTTTTTCTCTTCCCTCTCTTTTCTCTTTGCTTCAAAACCTTCTTCTTGGTAGCTGATGCAGCATTCCGCTCACGGTTGGCTCTTTTGTCATCAGCCTTTTGTGCAGATGTGCGTGTTTTCACTGCGGCGACTGTCGCGTTTTTTTTCTTGCTTCGAAGCAAGCGCATTCTTTCTCTTGCTTTTTGTGCAAGAACTTCTTTGTTTCTTTCATAGTATTCCCTTTGTTGTTTAAGCTTTTTTTCTTCTTTTTCTTTTCTCCATTGATCAGCAGAATATTTTTTGTTTTCCATTGAATATTTCGCAAGCGAAGCGTGTAAATTCTCGACGGAAGAAGTCACGCTAGGGAAGTCACGTTCTCTAGTAATTTCCAGTCTCAAACGATCGTTTGTTCATGGGTGTATATCAATTAATTGTTGTATACCCCCTCTAGATGTAATGTACAAGGTTGTTGTAAGCGAGGAAGAAGCGAAGTTTAGATGCGAAGATTTCTAAAACTGCCACTATTTTGCGCGTGTAAACTGATACACCAATGCAAACAATACTGTTCCAAGATCGAATATGTTCGCGATTCAAAAAAGACATAAATTTAGATGTTAAATTGAGTTAGATTCGTGAACATTTGGTACCGATAGAAAGTTTAGAATTTGAGAATGACAGATCTGCTAGTTGAAGAGCAATTTCATTTTAAGCGCGGCTATCACAGACCTTTTTGGAGATGAGGATAAATAATTTTAAGGTAAATTTTCTATGCATTTTATGTGTTCGCGATTCAGACTTTTTGGATTTTTTACGCTGTCTTTGAATTAAATGGAATAAAAATTTGTATACAGAAAATAAATCATCTGAGAATTATTGTATGTATTTTTTAAACTGATTTGAGCTTTTTTTGCGACAAAATCTTGGTGACTATGAAGTATAGTACAATATTGTATAAACAGCGTTACATGTTCGGTCGCCGAGAAAATTGTTTCGTAGCGCGAATATTACAATTCAGTGTTCCAATTTTAACTATTTTATTGAAAAGTCTATGTTTCTAGTGTATTTCTAAGTCAAAATTATTTTGAAATTTTAAATTTTTAAGTAAGAAATTTTTGAATATGTTTGATGCTTTGTCAGATTATGTTACGCGTTACATAAGAATTCGCCTCACTTTTCTGAATACTAAAATCCATAAAAAAATAAATTCTTCCTCTATTACCACGATTTTTGGTTTAATACAAAGAGGTTAACTATATCTAACAGGATATATAAGTTTTAAAGTGTTTTGTTTGAAATATATATTTTTTTGCTCAATATGGTTTTCGTAAACATGCTTTGCCACCCTGGATCGTGCTACTGATCTGCTGCTATCACTGTACACTGTGAGTTTCCTTGCTCTTATTTACTATAATTTATCAGTAATCATTATTCATGTGAGGAAAAATTATCTTACATAAATTTCGTTTTCATGGATGTTAACAATCAACTGGTAAGTGCTTTATCCAGATAAAAATGTTATAATCCACAGGAGCAAGCTGCTTCATACAAAAATTGTTTGAGATACATGTAATTTGAGTACTTTTTATTAGAATTCTTGAACAGAGTTTGTCTCCTGATTCTTCAAAACATGCTTTGTTCTAAAAATGAAGGTAGTGCGTTTAAGTTCTGATAATAAACTTAAGATTTTTATTTTTATTTTTAATATTGGTGATGTTCAGTGTTTTTAAACTGTATATGTTACCACTGTATGAAATGAATTAACACATAAAAAGGTTTAGAAGCATATATTAGAACATCCATGAATGATTGTTGGTGTTCATAACAAAAAAGTACAAGGCAACACAGTATTTGTTTTGAGAATGTATCATCTTCTACAGTATATGGAGTAAAATAGGCTATACTCTTCACAGAAAGAAGCAGTGATTTTGACAAGTACATCTGGTACAAGTTCAGCCAAGCTTTATTTTAATCACCAAAACACTGTATGTGAACTGTAACTGGTGTAAAATAAAATAATACTACTTTGAATAGATTAAAACTTTTTATATCCTAAGAGGGTTATTGAGTAGCTTTAATGAACAGATATAAACACAAATGTTTCTAAACAATATTAAAACATGTTTTGATATAACTTTAGTATAGAGACTACCATAACAAGCCTCAGAGTTTTTCTGAAATTAATTTTCAGTTTATCTAAGGACAAACTTAATCTTTGATGAATTACTTAAAAACTTGTAGAGAACCCCTATGTTGGTGGTTAGGATGTTCAAATACCTGTTGCTCTATAGTTGAGTATATTGACCCCCTGCATTTCCATGAATGGATGTCTGAGGCAAGTCACGTTTGCAGTTGAAGCAACTGTGTACATTATGTAGAATGTTTGAGAGATTTTCTACTTACACAGCTTGGTGTCAGGCTATCAAGGTAAATTTACAATTCACTGCTAAGCCCCTAAAAGGAATTAATTGCTTTGCTGGAATCTGTTCAGCCCAGGTGGGTCATATTTTCTAAAGGAAGTAATTACTTCATAAGCAATTTTTCATACTTAACATTTACTTAAAAGATCAACCTCAAGACTCCACAAACTTTTCTTTTTTGTGGACAACATTCCAAGCTGCATCTGTACAAAAGGGAGTGTTCCCTTGCTTGAGAGAGTTGCTTTGGAGATGTTACACTAATTTACATGGAGGTGTACTTTCTTGCTACTTTAATACACAATTATTTTAGGGTGGGGGGCTTTTGAATATCCCTTTTCTTGGTAAAGATAGTGATTGTTGTTGTTGTTGACCTTATTTCAGATGCAGCAGAAATTTTCTTTGCTCCCAAAAACAAGACAGTCCTGGAATATGACAATGTTACTTTCTTCTGTAATGCATCAAGTAATCCACCCTCCCAGATTATCTGGACCCAAGAGGGAAACAGTACGGTTCTGCATAAAGGAGAAACCTTTGTCATTAAAAATGTCTCAAGAAAACTTAATGGACAGGAATACAAATGTAGGACATGGAACAATGTCACCAAAAATATGGAAGCATATGCTCAACTCACTGTTCATTGTGAGTATTAAATGACTCTCTCATGATATCCAAGAATTTAAAATTAGATAAGATGGTACAATGTAAAAACGAAAGCAACATTATCATGCAATGGAACTGGTAATCTATCACCTCAAACAGCCTGGACAAAGTCTGGGAAGGTTCTGGTGACAGACAATGTTAATGTTATAAGGGCATGAAACAGAACTCAGGCTGGAAGATACCAGTGTATGGCTTGGAATGGAATCATGAGAAATGAGACTTTGAACTGTAGCATTGATGTTCACTGTAAGTTAATTGACTACCTTGAATTTAATAGCAGAATCTCTTTCTGTACACATACTTGGATGAATGTTAAACTTTTGCAAGTATACATTCAAACACTCATTTTTTATTTGATTTTGCGGTGTAAGTTAATTGACTACCTTGAATTTAAAGCAGTCTTTTTTGCACATATACTTAGCTGAATATTAAAGTTTTGCCAGTCAACAAAGACTCATTTTTATTTGATTTTGCCATCCAAAAGATCCTTCAACATCAACCATGATAACAACTGTTCCAACAAACACTACAGTGCTACATGACAGTGCTGTGTTACTGACCTGTAATGCAGATGCCAACCCCACTGTCCATACTTATCATTTGTACTTTAATGGCAACCTTATTGGTAACAGCAGCTCTGGTGTGTTTAACATCAGTGTGAAGGAAGATGGAGAGTACACTTGTGTTCCTGTCAACAGTTTAGGTGCAGGAAGTAATACTAGTCTGAGCATCACTTCTGTTGGTGAGTGTGATGTCTGATTTTTTTAGTTGAAATAAGTCATTATGAAGTTGAGATAAATGGTGGTCATAAATTATTTTCATATGGGGTTATTAGTTTGTCTAAGCCACTAAGGTTCATGCGAATACTTAGTTTGGGATATATGTCGTTGGTGAAATTATTAGGGCAAATTTTGAGTGAACCCTTTTGTTTTCAAAACCAAGGATGTTCTTGAGGTACAAAGGTGACGTAAAGGAACTTTTAAATTTTTTTTATACCATATCCTAAGAATGATCTTATTTAGTTTCCATTTAAAGGATTTGGGGATTTTAAACATACAAGGTTTACTAAAAGGGTATGGGTAACAACTGGTTAGGGTTTACATCAGTGCATTACTGATATATAAGTACTGTGGTTTGGGTTTTGGTTGTAGTGGTGTGTTTATTGCCAAAAACATTTAAAGATGATGTGTACTTTGACATATCCTAATTTACTTGTAAGTTCTAATGTCATGTTTGTAGTAATTGCAAAAGATCAATGTACTCATTAACACTCCCAAACCGATGTTTGAAAGGTATGCTGGCTTTCAGAGGCTAATTGTGCATCCCTAAAAGTCAAGAAACAAAATTTGTAAAGTCACAAAACAAGGCAAATTTTTTATTGAAATTCCTGCTAAAACCCACACTCTAACATTTGTCAACTGGCTTATTCAGTAGCTAGCTAAATTATGAATCCTCTGAGCTACAGATTCAGCATTTTGTAGATAGAAATTGAGGAACTCGCATTCGTTTGCCATTTGATAATGGCTGACATTGTGCCTTTAATATGTCTTGAATTCATGGATGAAGATGCAGCCATGTCTCCTAAGTTGCATTATTCTAGAGCAGTATGAGATGATTGTATGCATTATGTTACAATTTTAGTGGCTCCATCAGTGGATGTGTCAATCTCTGTAATGGTTACAAGAGAAGGCAGTAACATTTCATTGAGCTGTAATGTATCTGGTAAACCTGAACCCAGCATATCATGGACAAGAATTGGTAGTTTGGATGTTCTCTCTGTTTCACCATCACTAACTATCGTGAATGTGAGCAGACCTGGGACAGCAGACAACATGATCCAGTATCAATGTACAGCTAGTAATGGAGTGGAGACACCTGCTACAGCTACAGTCAATGTTACTATAGAATGTAAGTGGAAATTGCAGTGAAGAGGGAATTTTATATTAGAAATGAAAAGAACACTATATAGCTTGAAATTGTTATTTGTGTTAAGCATTCTGATCTCTGGGAAGACAATTTGTGATTGAAAATGTATCTGAAATCAGCTTGCTCTGTATTTGTTCCAAAGTCAAACTCTCCAACACTATGTACAAATATACAAGTTATGGTTAGTAAAAGCATTTATATTTGATAATAGAAGGGGGGGGGGGAGGAGGGAAGTAGCAGGATGGTTCACTGTGACAAACTTGGTGGCTAATCTCACTATTTCGAAAGCAATTTTACTCTGAAGCATTTTCACTTGGTGTTTTTTCACATTATATTTTGACTCCCACTCATACATGTGGGACAGATGGGATCCTGCTTAGCTTGCCTGAAATCTCAGGTGGGAGATGGAATTTATGTTGGATAACCTTGAGTCTGGCATGAGGGAAATAGAATCATGTAGTTGCATATTCTCATTAGTAATTAAATTTAGAAGAATAAACAGAATGATACCTGATGAAATGATAATTCACTGACTTGTTCAAGGAAGAGTCAAGACATGAAACAAAGACATAAACTTAGATAATATTTTTGGTTTACATGTATCTTTGAGTTTACAGCTTTGTTTGCATAAATTCTTCAACAAGCTAATTTAAGGATTTTTATTGCAATTCCTTTTCTGATAGGAATAGTAATAAGGTTATACTACTCTGTAATATATAGATGAACATGTCTTTGCAGATCCACCGCATCCTTTTATACAACATTGCCCCAGTCCAGTAACTGAAGGAGGTAATGTGACATTATACTGCAATGCAACTGGTAATCCATCACCTCAAACAGCCTGGATAAAGTCTGGAAAGGTACTGGTGACAGACAGTGTTCATGTTATTAGAGGAATTAACAGAAGTCAGGCTGGAATATACCAGTGTATGGCTTGGAATGGAATCATGAGAAATGAGACTTCGAACTGTACCATTGATGTTTACTGTAAGTTTATTGACTACCTTGAATTTAATATGAGAGTCTATTTCTGTACATATACTTTGCTGAATGTTTAAGTTTTGCCAGTCTACAATAACTAATTTGTGATTTGATTTTGCTGTCCAAAAGATCCTCAAACATCAACCATGATTACAACTGTTCCAACAAACACTACAGTGCTACGTGACAGTGCTATGTCACTGAGCTGTAATGCAGATGCCAACCCCAGTGTCCATACTTATCATTTGTACTTTAATGGCAACCTTATTGGTAACAGCAGCTCTGGTGTGTTTAACATCTCTGTGAAGGAAGATGGAGAGTACACTTGTGTTCCTGTCAACAGTTTAGGCGTGGGAAGTAATACTAGTGTGAGCATCACTTCTGTTGGTGAGTGTGATGTCTGATCTTTTGGTTGAAATATGTTAGGAAGTAAGTAACAACTTTATTTAAAAAGGGTGGCACATAACAGTAGAACTGATAAACTAGTGGCTCTCTATCTTAAATTAATATTAAATTACTAATTAAAATAGATCCAGGATATTAAAAAATAAGAATATTATTAAAATGTTAAAATTTAAAAAACATTTTAAAACTTTCAAATTTAAAAATATGCAAAATATGTAAAAAAATTTTAAAATGAGGAGAGATATGTACATAAGGGAGAAACTGGGATTTAAGGGGTGATAAGACACTAATTGATCTAATAAAGCTAAGTATTTCTAGATAAAAATCTTTCAGACAGAAGATTTAAAAGCGCAAATGGACTCTATATTGTGAATATAAGTCATTATGAATTTAGATAAATGGTGGTCATGACATCTTTTGATATGAGGTTATTAGTTTGTCTAAGCCACTAAGGCTCTCAACAATAGTCAGTGTAGGGTATATGTTGTTGGGAATATTATTAAGACAAAATTTTGAGAGAACCATATTTTTTTTCACAACCAAGGTTGTTCTATAGGTACAAAGATGATGTAAAAGAACTTTTACATTTTTGTCCATACCCTATTCTGTTAATGATGTTATTTAGTTTTCATAGAAGGGATTGGGGGATTGGGGGATTTTAAATATCTAAGGTTAACAAAAAGGGTGAGGGTAACAACTGCTTAGGGTTTACATTAGGGCATTACTTAGAGGTAAGTACAGTGGTTGGGTTTTTGTTACAGTGGTGAGTTTGGGGCGAAAAACATTTTTAAGATGTTGTGCACTGATCTATCCTATTTTTCATGTACATTCAAATGTCATGGTTTTAAGGATTGAAAAAGATCAATGTACTTGTTAACACTCACAAACTCATGTTTAAAAGGTATCCTGGCTTTCAAAGGCAAATTCTGCATCCTTAAAAGTAAAAAAAACATAATTTTTAAAGTCAGGAAACATAGCAATTTTGTAAAAATTCCTGTTAAAAGCCACATTCTAACGTTTGTCAACTGAATTATTCCTTAGCAAGCCAAATTGTCAATCATTTGAGCTAAAGATTGAGCATTTTTTGTTAATAAAAATGAGGAACTCTCATTCTTTTACCATTTGATAGTGGCTGACAATGTTCCTTGAAATATGTCTTAAATTCATGGATAAAAATGCAGCCATATCTCCTGAGTTACATTATTCTAGAGCAATAGAAGATGATTATATCCACTACATTACAATTTTAGTGGCTCCATCAGTGGATGTGTCAATCTCTGTGATGGTTACAAAAGAAGGCAATAATATTTCATTGAAGTGTAATGTATCTGGTAAACCTGAACCCAGCATATCTTGGACAAGAATTGGTAGTTTGGATGTTCTCTCTGTTTCACCATCACTAACTATTGTGAATGTGAGCAGGCCTGGGACAGTAGACAACATGATCCAGTACCAATGCACAGCTAGTAATGGAGTGGAGACACCTGCTACAGCTACAGTCAATGTTACTGTAGAATGTAAGTGAAAATTGCATGGAGAGGGAATTTTATACTAGAAATGAAAAGAACACTATATGGCTTGAAATTGTTATTTGTGTTGAGCATTCTGATCTCTGGGAGGAAAATCTGTGATTGGAAATGTATCTGTAATCTGCTTGTTATGTACTTGTTCCAAACTCAAACTCTCTAATACTATTTACAAATATACAACTCATGGTTATTAAAAGCATGTATATATGATAATGGAAGGGGAAGGGGGGGGGAGGGCAAGGGAAGTGGCAGGATGGCTTACTGTGACCAACTTGGTGGCTAATTTCACTATTTTGAGAGCAGTTTTGCTTACAAGCACTTTCACTTGGTGTTTTTTCACATTACATTTAGAATTGATAACTAGAACTCTTATAAATGTTCATGCTTATGAAACTCACAGATGAGGTTCACATACGTAGTTTCCCATAGTAAATTTTCACATGTCTTAAACTATCACACACGTGGGATAGATGGGATCCTGCTAAGTCTGCCTGAAATCTCAGGTGGGAGATGGGATCCATGTTGGGATTGCCTTGAGTCTGGCATGAGGGAAATAGAATCCTGTAGTTGCATATGCTCATTATTAATTAAATTTAGAAGAATAAACAGAATGATACCTGATGAAATGATAATTCGCTGACTTGTTCAAGGAAGAGTCAAGACATGAAACAAAGACATAAACTTAGATAATATTTTTGGTTTACATGTCTCTTTGTGTTCAGAGCGTGAAATTAACTTTTTTTTCTGATAGCCACTTGGCTTCTAAATTCTTCAAAGTGGTAGCCAATTCAAAAAAAGTTGGTCGCCATTTTCAAAGACAAACAAAATCTTTCTTTATGCTGTCAGCGTTCTAGATAGACCCTCTAAAATTAAGTTAGGGAAAAGATCTTTAACGTGCTACAAAGTGGACACTAGGATGTATGATATACAACGGTCAGGCTCATCTAAATCCAAGATGGCGTCTAGTTATCGATCGAGATGCATGTGCTACGTTTTGGAAACAAACTTAACGAGGAAGTTTGCCGCGGATTTATCTTTGCAAATTTATTTAATTCACTATATCTCTTAGTAAGGTTATGATGAAACGTTGTAGTCGCCAATTTGGCGACTAATTTTCAGGATTTGGTCGCCAAAGTGAAAAATTTAGTCGCATTGGCGCCTGTATTAGGCGCAATTTCACGCCCTGGTGTTTACAGCTTTGTTTGCCTGAATTCTTTAATGAGCTTATTTGAGGATTTCTATTGCAATTCCTTCCAGATCCACCACAGTCTTTTATACAACATTGCCCCAGTCCAGTAACTGAAGGAGATAATGTGAGATTATACTGCAATGCAACTGGTAATCCATTACCTCAAACAGCCTGGATAAAGTCTGGAAAGGTTCTGGTGACAGACAGTGTTAATGTTATAAGAGCAATTAACAGAAGTCAGGCTGGAATATACCAGTGTATGGCTTGGAATGGAATCAGAGGGAATAATACTGCTAATTGTACCATTGATGTTCAATGTAAGTTAATTTTCTACCTTGTGAAGTTCATGGCAAAGTCTTTTACTGTATAAATACATCTAAATAGCTAAATCATAAACTTTTGCCAGTATACAAATACTCATTATCAATTTTTTTTTTTCTAAAAGATCATCCAACATCAACTTTGATTACAATACTTCCCACAAATACTACAGTGCTGCGTGATCGTACTGTGTCGCTGAATTGTAGTACAGATGCCAACCCCTGATGCTCATACTTATCACTGGTACTTTAATGGCAACCTTACTGGTAATAGCAACTCTGGTGTGTTTAACATCACTGTGAAGGAAGATGGAGAGTACACCTGTGTTCCTGAAAACAAAGTGGGCACTGGAAGCAATGCGAGTGTTGACATCACTGCTGTTGGTGAGTTTCATATCAGATTCAGCCCTATACTATGCAGTCAATATAAAGATTCAACCTCACCCCACCACCCCTTCTAGGGCAACCCAGGGGCTGGGCATTTAAATCTTGCATGGATGGGGAGTAAATTTGAACCTTTAGAATATACATGTTCTAAGTTCTAAGTTAAGTATGGAGGAGTTCAAAGATGAAGAGTCTGCTTTGTGAGCAAATGGCCAAGAAGAAAATTTTTTACATTGATTGATGTTTACTTGAGAAAAACCAAGCAGTAGCACTAATAGCTCATATATGACTTTGCCACAACATTTGTTGATCACACCAGCAAGCAATGACTGTGAATATATAAAAATCATACATGGGAACTGCAGTGTGAGAAATCAATGTGAAAGCAATCTTTGCAGTAAGGAACACCACTTAAGCAGGAGTTAAAATAAGGCCTGAAAAAATTAAAGTGAAAAAAACCATTAAAAAAATTGTGGTTGAGTGGGGTAATTGATTGCCTCAAATTAATTGATGCATTAAGACTGAGGATAAAAAAGTGAATATATAGTTTATAGTTATAGTTAGCTCAAACTTGTCTGGTAAAATACGTTATCTTGATTCAACAAAATTCTTGACACTTATTTACAAGGAAATATGTAGCAGCAAGAGGGGAGAATCAACAATCAGAACTTGGGAGCTAAAGGGTTATAGGCACCTCATCTTTACCTGATGCATTCTTTTCCTTGTATTTGTGATATTTTATTTCAGTGGCCCCAGTTACTGAGGTGGTTCCTCAAACTGGCACTGTCATTGAAGGTGGAAACTTCACCTTTATTTGTAATGCCAGTGGTGTTCCTTCTCCATCTGTTGTCTGGACTGAAGTTGGCAGCCTGGTCATTTTGTCTCAAAAAATTTCACTGACTGTTGCAAATGTAACCAGACCAGGGACAAGAGATAACCTGATCCAGTACCAGTGTACAGCCAGGAATGGAGTGGGCACATCTAGTACAAC